TTGTGCCTATCTCAAAAAAAAAAATAGATTGTGCCAAATTGTCAATGACAGGTGGGCCAAGATTACATTTGGACTAATACACAAGCACGATTGATTTTTATTTCCCCTAGTAACATCATTAGCTGGTTGGGGCATCTTAGCATTAAGCATTAAAAAAAAGCTATGTGGTGAGAGAAACTACGTAAAAGTTAAGTTCATATAGAGGATTGTCAGGGGTGGGCATTCGGTTAAGACCGAAACTTCGGTCCGGGTAGTTCGGTCTTTTAGAAAATTGGTTATTGAGAAAGGAAAACCGAAGTGCTTAGTAAAAAATCGTGGACCGATAGATCAGGTAACCGAACTTTTAGTCCGGTCTTCGGTATCCACCGATTTGACCGAACACGGAAGGATCGGAGAGGCAGGCGGCGCATCGAGGCGTAGACTGGTGACGAGGGAAGCGTCAGGGCTAGTGGCGAGAGCGACGGCATCGGAACTATCGCTGCAGGATCTCGTTCCCACCTCCGGCGACCTCATCGACCCGACTGTCGATTCCGTTCTCTCCGCATCGTGCCCTCCTAGCCTCCCCTGCGTGGCTGACAGAGCTCACCGCCCCGCCACCGACGGCGCCCCCTCCACAGACAATAGAATGAGAGGATGGGAGGGAGAGAAAGAAACGAAGAGTGCTCGCCGGCAGGATCTAGTCCACATCTTCACTGATCTCACGATAGTGCAACAGTCGGGGATCAGAAGATGGGCGATACGGTGATAGGTGGCGCTGTGGCGGTCGTCATAACGAGTGGCAGCTAGGTTAGGGTTGTACCTGTAGCACTAGATGGGGATGAGTGATAGTAGACTATTGTGGTAGACTTGTTGGGCTTAACCTCTCGTTGAGTGGATGTGCTGAGAGTATTGGCCCAAGACCAAGATCGGTCTGATTGGGTAACTGAGGAATAAGACTGAAGCCTGACAAAAGGATTGGTCTTTTGAAACACATGACCGATCAAGAGACCGATGATCGATAGATCGGTTTCTTCGGTCTCGATTTCGGTTTTTCCAGTCTCGGTCTTCGATCTCAGTTTTTTATGCCCACCCCTAAGGATCGATGAGAGATGATACGCATGACTAAGTGATACTGATCAAAACAACGAACTCAAGAGCAAAGAGCTTGATAGCGACACAGTGAGAGAGGCAAGCTCATTAATGGGGGTGGAAGCTTCAAACTCGAGAGCGAAGACCTGTTCGAAGGTAGCTTGGCGTCTTCTATAGTCCATATGACTCAAAGGATTTCGATCAAGCCATCTACTAATCCATATGGCCAGATTTGGTTGTTGAACCTATGCCAACAACAACTTGTTGTTGGTGCATGGACTACACACCAAGATTTTGTCGTGGCTCCGATCGGGGGCTGGCCAAGACCAAGCTCTTAGATGACCAGCGCTAGCAAGTAAATAACAAACGGATGGGAGTGAGATGAGGATGACCACGGGAAGAAGACAATAGTGTAGGCATCGGTGCAGGGAAAAATGAATCAAAAAATTGATAAAAGTAAATTTAGTGGAGTTCGTGGCTATAGCTAGCTACTGTACATATACCATGCAGGATTTGTCTTACCCTATGAGTTTGCCGAAAACCAACGAAAATTGATGAAAACTAATAACTTTTGTATGGATATCAGCTAAAACCGCTCGGTTTTCACAAACCAATTCCTAGCGCCACAAGCGGTTTTCATGAAAACCGATTGAAAATGTAAACCCACGTGCCATCTATTGGTTACCTCCCACCGACGTATGTTTTTTTTACAGCCGGTGCCATTAAACTTGCTCTAAGCAAAGATAATACGTCTAGTGGGTTTTCTTGTTTCGACTCAGGCCTCTTTGTTAGGATTAGCTTAGGCCCTTAGTTTAAAGGTGACTTATCGGCTTTGTGGTTTAGTTAGTACTAGTGTATGTGCAACATATGTATAGATAATACGAATTAAATCAAACATATTTCATGCAACTAATACCTATGTTTGACATATTATAATAGGACAACATTTTTATCATGTTACAAACTATATTAATAATGGTAATATAAAATACTAATCTGAAGCCCTAGATTTTCTTTTATGAAATTAAATTCCAAGTAAACATAATACGTTACTAAAATACCAACCTAGTTCTTATTTTTCTCCATCGATGGAACCCATAGATATCTATCAGCATCATCTTTTCCCTTATAATTATGCTAATTAGCCAAAATTTGAATTTTCTACCTTAAATATGGAGTTGATTTTAGGGTTTTTGTCATCGTAGTTTATTTTTTGGTCTTTACTTTTAGATCATTAACTATCAGCATCATCTTTTCCCTTATGCTTATGCTAATTAGCCAAAATTTGAATTTTCTACCTTAAATATGGAGTTGATTTTAGGGTTTTTGTCATCGTAGTTTATTTTTCAGTCTTTGCTTTTAGATCATTAAGAACATGTATATAAAAATTTTATTCATAAATTATTTTTCATTTGCAAATACGTTGTTTCATTTTTTTTCCTCAAATATCCTAAATGATAGGCCTGTATGTATCCTATATGGTTGGGCCCAAAAGCTTGACATGCATTGAGCCACACCATCTAGAAAATAGTAGCATTTGGATCATTCTCATGGTTTGATCTAAACCATTCATTTACCATATGCATTTATAGCCCACTTAATGTAGTTATTGGCATTTAATGTGTATCGAACCATGACACCTAGAAAACTAATAGTCATTGGATTGCTCTTATGCTTGATACATAACAATCAAAGTGTCATGTAGAATTGCAATTTCACATCAACTACTACAAAACAAATATTGTCCATTTAGATATTACGTGTGTGTTTGGTTGCAAACCACACTTTGCCACACATAAGGTTAGGAAAAAATGATAGGTGTTTGGTTGTAGCCACAATTGTGGCAAGATTCTCTTCTAACAATTTGGGTCCCACTTGTCAATGACTCAAGAAAGTGTGGCAAGATTCTTTTAGGCTTAGTAAGTTGTGGCTAAGAATTTGATCACCTCACCTTACACAAGGTGTGGCAACTTTTATTGGCAAGTAATGACAAAATGTGGCCACCAAACAGCCCTTACGTGTGCACGATTTACATATTGTTTTCTTTGAGTTTTCTTTGAAATATTTTTAAATTTTCCGCTGCAACATGCAGGTTATCCACTAGTATCTCTAAATTAGTCCAACAAAGAATTTGTGAGGCGCACAAAATTATTGTGTTTACTAGTATATACCTTAACCGTGCCCGCTTGAGTTTGTTAAGTGCAAAAGGCTTCAAAACTAATACCTTAGCCTACATCATATTTTTCTATTCATTGCAACAAACTCATCACTTTTTAAGATCTAAAGCCATCACTCGAGGTACCTGCATATATTTAGGCAACAAGATTTTTATCAATATTTGTAAGAAAATCGTCAAGTGTTTAGAAACTCAGAGAAGAGCATATAAACTTATATACTTTTTTCAAGATAGTTTTTGCTCTTGGACAAGACAAACTTGTAGCCATCATGCTCATGTCACTAGATTTGGCTCCTGCAGCCATGTGTATGGCATTCATAATACTAAGAAAGGAATATTGTTACAAAGGCTACCTTAGGATGTGTTCTTTAGCCTAGTTTTCCAACTTCACCTACTCGTTTTGCTTCCCAAATTGCTAAACAATGAGTTTTTGCAAAAAAAAAATAGAAAAGTTGTTTTTAGGGAAAAAATCATATTATTCTATTTTTAAAGTTTTTTGCTAATACTTAATTAATCACGTGCTAAAACGTCCTTTGTTTTGCGTGCAATGTTGGAAGTGTTCCCAACTCCACCTAGGGAACACAGTTATAATTTTAGCATAGCCAAAAGCTTGATACTACCTTTGAGGACTTATGTAAATCAATAGAATATATTAAATACGCTGGTTACAAAGTTGGTGCTGGAAATAAAGCTTAAAACATAAATTAAATAGAGACACAACAATACTAACTAATCCCTCCGTTTTAAATATAAGCACTTCTAGCATTTGAAAGCTACTCATGTAACACCGATTTAATCAAATAAACATGCATCATTGATAGTCGCATGGACATGCTCATCAATATCTTTGTAAACCTTTATTATTATGATATTTCCAAATATTCTGAATCGTTGGAATATGGATCATCTCATAGAGTCAAGAATCGCCACACACACAAGTGAATAAAGCTTAGGGTTTAGCACCGATTGAAATTTGTTCATGATAGTTGCTACCTTGGAGTAGCGAAGGAAGATACATTTCAATGTCTTATGTTTTAGAGAAAGAAGCTATTGCAGGACAAATCCGAAACAAGTTTGTAGTGGTAGGGGCAGCTCCTGGGTAGGTCGGGGCGATTGCCCAAGCTTCGCCACAGCCGCCTCCATTACTGATTGTGGTTAATAAGTATAAAGTTTGGTCGACCGCCATGAAACACTATTAATTGTCCGGGTTCAACGATGATGCTGGCTCTATCATTGCAAGTTTTTTTTTATCATCAACTTATTTTACTTGTAGTATATGAATTGAAAAAATTATTTTGGTTTAGTGCTTAAATTAACAGTATTAACCTTTTCATGAAGCAAAAATGTCAGGAGAACAAAGTTCAAATAATTATCAAAGCATAGATATGGCCCCTTTGAATCGAAAGAATGTAAAAATGTAGAAATAGGAAAACGTAGGATTCATCTCATTCATACAAGTGTAAAACGGATGATCACAAAATAAAAAAAGAACGTATAAATAACCATTTGATTGGATCCCAGAAAACGTGAATCGGACAAGAGATATAGGCTCAAAGGACCTTTTGCTAACTATCTTCTAAAATCCCTATAGAATTAACAATTCTATAGAATTATTTTCATACGATTGAAGTCCTTCGAATTTCTTTCCCTTTTCCTAGAAAATCAAAGGCCGTTTAACTTTGTGCGACGAACCTGGCATACCGGCCTGGCCCGACGAAACCCACAAAGAAGAACCGACATCCCCATCCGGGCCCAAACCCCGTCTCCGTCCACACGCACGGCACGGCGATCCTCACGGCCTAACCGTCGCTCCATCCTCGCCCACCTCTCCTCCTTCCCCAAACCCTAGAATCTCGCCGCGCGGGCGCAGCTCCGCCCTTCGCTCGCCGTCATTTCCCGGCTTCCCCGCGCAGGGGCTAGCTAGCTAGCTAGCTAGGGTTCCGGCGCACGACGACGATGGCCGCGGACGATCTCTCATCCCCGGCGCGGAAGCGCGGCCGCGACGAGGAGGAGGAGGAGGAGGAGGAGGTCATCGACGGGGAGGCCGCCCAGAAGCGCGCGCGCGGGGAGGATCCGGAGGGCGGGGCGCTGCTGGGGCTCGCCAACTACGAGGAGGACGAGGAGGACGAGGAGGCGGCGGCTGCTGCGGGGAGGCGCCGCGCGAATGGCCGACACGAGGAAGAGGAGGAGGAGGACGACGACGACGACGAGGTTGACAACGACGTGAGGAGGGCTCCGGAGCGGAGGCCGAGGCAAGTGGAGCTGCGCCGGGACTGCCCTTACCTCGACACCGTGAACCGCCAGGTATGGCTTTTAGCAGCAGCAGCGTTTCAGGTGCCAATTTTTTAGACATTCTGTGTGATTCGATTGATGTGAATAACCTCGATGAAATATAGTTTTTCATTATGTTCACGATCTCCAATTTACTTGGGATCCACCATTTACGCCTAGTATTTTGATTATCAATTGCTGGTATTGTGATAGAAGTTCCTTTTTTTGTGTGTATGTTTGATTTAATAGAGCTGAACAACATATACAGATGCTAAAGGGAAACTTAATGTTCATGGTGTTATTATATCTTCATAGTGAATTCCAATTGATTTTATTTTTGTTGTAGTGTGCAACATGTGAGCCTGTTCATTTGAAGTAATATATTATTTTTTTGTCATATGTCTGTCTTGGTACTTTATCTTTTTTTTTTTTTTGTTCGAGAGCACTGTTCTACTGCTACTCTACTGTGTACATTACTATAATAACTGAACGGAACATATTTATCAAATAATTATGTTTAGTTCTTCCTTGCTCTGGTGGCTATTGGGTTTATGGGTGTATTGGGTTGAACGCTGGTCCATTCCACTATGGACTGTTTCTTAACTGAGACACGGTCCCTTAGGACATATCAGAAAGCCTCTTATGTTTGCTGCAATTTTAAAAAGAACTGTAGGCTTTTCCCTTCAAGTTCTTATCCGTTCAACTTGTGTATCCCTTTATTTCCTCGTTCTCACTGGCCGGTACATAAAAGCTTTAATTAAACTAAACAGTATCTTGTGAGCTGTGGTTGGCTTTTTTCTAAAATAGATCCTTAAAATAGCTTTAAACTAAACAATTGTAAGCTCTTGTAGGATCTTTAAATCTATCCTTCTGTTTTAGATGGCCAGTGTGATGTGATTGTTTGTACAATTAAAATCTATGGAATCACTTCCACGCTATATTCTATATATGTTTTACACTCTTCTGGCAGAATGTGTGCTGGACTGTATCATTGATGGGCTATTTCACATGTTCATTGATTGTTGTATATATTTTGTCTACATTGTAGGTCCTTGATTTTGATTTTGAGAAGTTCTGCTCAATCTCCTTATCAAACTTGAACGTGTATGCATGTTTGGTTTGTGGAAAGTATTACCAAGGAAGAGGCTTGAAATCACATGCATATACTCACAGCCTTGAAGCAGGCCACCATGTGTTCATTAACCTTCAAACTGAGAAAGCTTACTGTCTTCCTGATGGATATGAGATAAATGATCCATCATTGGAAGATATTCGACATGTTCTCAACCCAAGGTGCTTTTCTATCGTCGCCCATGTTAACTCTAGTAATGAGCTCAGAGCTATGCAGTTTTTTGATTGGTGTGCTTTGGCAGGTTTACAACAGAGCAGGTTCGTAATCTTGATAGGAACAAGCAGTGGTCTAGAGCTCTTGATGGCTCCAATTATCTACCTGGAATGGTATGTATACGTGAAACTAATACAATGGTTCTTAAATGTATAAATGATTCTTTTCCTAGGGACATAACCTGTTTGCTGTTCCCTGTTAATTAAGGGAATTCTTTGCAGTTGTAGCAAAAAAAAAAATGTATCCCTCCCTAAAACAAGGGTTTTGTTTAGTTGGTCTATCTGGAGAAATTACAAAAATGAAAAAGCATCTTCTGGAAAAAAATCACAATGACAGTGAAAGCCTAAAAAATTGTGGACTTGAATAGAAGCAGCCAACTTGGTCATGAGCTTTTTTTAGCCAGGTTATTTCATTCTATATTAAGTTATTATTATAATGGTGTTATATGACCATCACCATGTCACAACTTAAAAACATTGCAGATTTCCTATTGCACCTCAATATTTGCAATTCTCTCTGCTTTGACCATTATTATCCTATGGCAGTAGTCACTTCTCTATGCTTAAATTTGCAGGTTGGTCTAAACAACATCAAGGAGACAGATTTTGTGAATGTCACAATACAGTCATTAATGAGAATTACTCCTTTAAGAAATTTCTTTCTCATCCCTGAAAATTATCGGCATAGCAAATCCCCATTGGTTCATCGATTTGGAGAACTAACTCGCAAAATCTGGCATGCAAGGAACTTCAAGGGCCAGGTTGGTTTTTTAGTGAGATAGCTGCATGCCAGCATATTTGTGCTGTTCCTCTACCTCCACAAATACTCAAAAGTTAACATGTTGCTTTTTGTGCAGGTTAGTCCACATGAGTTTCTGCAAGCAGTTATGAAGGCCAGTGATAAGAGGTTCCAGATTGGTGTTCAGTCTGATCCAGTGGAATTTATGTCATGGCTCTTGAACACAATGCACTCGAAACTAAAAAGTAGGAAGAGAAACAGAAGCATCATACATGATTGCTTTCAGGTATAGTTTTTGTCTATACCAACAATTTGATTAATAAAATTGCGTGCAACTTCTTACAGCATTGTTTTTGTTAGGGAGAACTTGAAGTAGTTAAGGAATTTCACAAGAAGCATATTGTGGAAAAGAAAGAGGACGGCGATGAACAGAATGGTGATGCAGGTTCAGATATTGTTACTGAAACATCTAGGGTCCCATTTTTGATGCTTGGCCTTGACCTACCACCTCCACCTCTTTTCAAGGACGCCATGGAGAAAAATATCATTCCACAGGTTTGTTATATCCCAAATATATATATTAGTATCTTCTGGTTAAAATTTCGCAGCACACGTTTTGCATGTATAAGTGATACTAGTATGATGATGTTCGGTGAGGTTCTTTTGATGATAATGTGAAAACCAACTAAATGATTATTACAGTTTGCTCAGAACTTTGATAGCAGTAAAGGCTTAACTCTGCAGCATGAGTCGTAAGAATTATTTGGACAATCTTCTCAAGATTTCTGTTACTGTAACATTTATTTGAAACCACCTTTTTGTTATATAAAATTTCCTGCTTAGAACTGCAAACCTGACCTCATTTTCTTTTCCCTTTTTTGGCTTATGTTCTTATAGACGTAGATAGTTGCACAACTTAGCCGTCTTATAAGTTCATTTTCTTTATCCGTTTTGTATATTTGCATGTGTCTGCATGTTAACACTTTGACCATTCCATTTACTTGGTGGAGTGGAACCATATTGGGTGAGGCGATATATTTGAAATCTTGACATTCAACTTTTATGTTTTTTGAACTCTAAACTCAAAAGCTTGTGTGATGTCCAGGTACCACTCTTTAATATATTGAAGAAGTTTGATGGCGAGACAGTTACAGAGGTAGTGCGACCCTCCATTGCTCGTATGAGGTATCGAGTCATCAGACTTCCAAAGTATCTGATCCTTCACATGCGACGGTTTACCAAAAATAACTTCTTTGTAGAGAAGAATCCTACTCTAGGTAAAATCCTTGTTTTGATTTAATTAGCCTCTGCAGTCCACTTGGTACATTTCTAAGATGTTTACATATTTATCTTACAGTGAATTTCCCCGTGAAGAACTTGGAATTGAAAGATTACATCCCATTACCTAAGCCAAAAGATTCCGAGAAGCTACGCTCAAAGTATGATCTCATAGCCAACGTTGTCCATGATGGCAAGCCAGGCGAGGGATGTTACAGAGTATTTGTACAGCGGAAATCAGAAGAGGCTTGGTATGCTCCTCAGCTTATTCCTAGCATGGGTATTTATTTTGTGCCTGCAGTTGAGAGGGCCTTGTAAATCATTTTCCATTCCTTATTTTAGGTATGAAATGCAAGATCTTCATGTTACCGAGACTCTTCCTCAGATGGTAGCTCTTTCAGAAGCCTACATGCAAATATACGAGCAGCACGAATGAGTGATGATTGGTGATCATCATGTAGCACCTTGCATACCGACCTTTCTTTTGTTGCTTCTCTCAGATTTTATCATTAGAAGCTAATCGTCATGTCTGGAGCTTTTTTTTTTAGAGAACTATGGTTGTTCCTTTACCCTTGTTCCATACAGTTAATTGAAAAGCACAGGGTGAGAATGCTGTGTTAGAACTGTTAGATTATCACACCGGAGGGACTATAGGAGCTAGCAGCAGTAAAATATAAAATTCATGGGCATTTTATTTCCCAGAGCTTTGATTGACCGGTTGTTTAAAGCAGAAGACACTTCGGTTTCCAAGTATTTTCCCTTATTTATCCATGGAAGGGTGAAAATGTACAAGGGGTGTTCCGTGCAATGGGAGGCCTGTTCTGTGCGACGAGTGGAGGGAGAATTGCTTTAAGTGGTACTGTAGAAAAGAACTGGTTTCTTTGACAGCAATGGAAATATTATGCACACAAAGTATACTTAGGTATACTTTTAATGAGGTTTTAGTGAAGTTGAGGACACTTGCAATAAAATTTAATGAATTGACAGCAAAATGCTATGTCGGGGATGTATTTTTAAGAGGTTGTTTGGTTGGTGATTAAGGGTGTGTTCTTTGGTGCATGTTCCCAATTTTACTCTCGTTTTTGACGTGCGTGTTTTCTCACACTGCTAAATGACGTGTTTTTTACAGAAAAATCTAGAGGAAAGTTATTTTTAAAATCATATTAATTCATTTTTTCAAAAAAATAGCGAACACTCTCTTAATGAGATAATCAACAATATGCCACTGAGTTTGTATCAGTACAGTGATTTTTTTTTACCGACGGTCTGTTTCTACGATATATCGATAACTTTAGCAATTGTTCTATAAGACAAGCCATTGGACCTATCCTTTTTCAGAAAAGTATTCAAAATACCTGATTGATCTTATTAGAAGTAAAAAAAACATAAAAATTTTTATGTGGCCTTCTTACACAACATAAAAGTTTATATATAAGTTTCAAGTTTTTTTTTATATATTTTTATATTTAAGAAAAATATTTTTATGTGGTATATCAGAAGATTGCCTACACAAAAGATAATAGAAAAAAAAAACTTAGGTAGCATATGAAAGATAATTTACATTACAAACAACACAGAAAAATATTTTGCATAGCATATAACAGATAAGTTGTGTTTTTTTAAAAAAAAAGTAGAAATGCAAACTAAAAAAAAACTTGTATACAAATTTCCATATTGTGTAAGAATGCCAAATAAAAATTTCATATATTTTTTAAACTTCTAATGAGATAAAACAATTATATGCCCATAATGGTATTTTAGGTATTTTTGAAAAACAAATCCAACCCAATGGTGTATTGTAGAACAATTGATAAGTTGTTGATATATATTATATAAAGAGTCGATACAATGCCAATCCGTGGGATAAATTGATTATGTGCTAATGAATCGCTCTGTTTTACGTGTATAAAGGCCATCCATTTGAGTTAAACATAGCCTAAGTTCACTACACTTTGGGCATATTTGATTGTATTTTTTTTTACCGTGGTGCAACCTACCTAAACAATGTTATGTATGTGGCTCCAGCAGGAACAATTGCATTGCAGTGTAACCGAACGAATCCTTTTTTACTACAAGTTGGCTATGTGATACAAATGTGGTCAACGAATTATTAGTCAAAAGCGTGGTAACATCTAGCTAGAATCTAAGTATATTATGTTTGTGCCTAATAACTAATAAAATGTGACAGGTCATGGCAATCTTAGATAGCCAATCAAAGTGTCTGAGTATGGTGGGTGCACACTGCTTAGTGACAAGTAAAGATATGTTCTCGATTCGATCAAAATTGTAGATCTGGTAAATGCTCCATATAGGACCTGATTGAGGGAGTATAAGATTCTGAGAATCAGTCGGTTGATAGCTATCTTCTTAGTGCTTCTAAGAAATTGAAAAAACTAGGTTTGTCAGCTTTGGTTTATACTTTATTTTCTAGATTCTAATTCTGTAGAAGCTCTTTGAAACAGGCCTATAGTCTCTCGATTCGATAGATCTTGTGAATGATCCACCGGCGATTTGCCTAGTCGATGCCAAACGAAAACGTGGAGAAAATTGTTTGCGTACAACAACTCTTGTGAATTGGCTTTTGTAAAGTGCTTCTCTTCTCAAACCGCCCGGGCCGTACACCGTATGCCTCCCTCGACCACAGGCTTCCCGCGCCGCCGCTCGCCGCCGGTGGACGCCGACCTGCTGCCGCGCCTTCGCCTCGCCGCTGGCCAGAGTTCGCCATGGCGCGTCCTCCTCCAGTCCCTGGCCCTCGTCGTCACCTCCGGCCTCTCCGCCTCGGCCTCCCACTCCCACCGCGGCCGCGCGCTCTCATCCCGCCTCCTCAACTCCCTCCTCCCCCACGCCCCGCGCCGCCTCCTCCCCGCGCTCCTCCGCCTCCTCCCCGGAGACCACCTCACGCTTCTCCTCCTCGTCTCCTCGAAGCACCACTCGCACTCCCTGCCCGCCGCCTCCGCGCTCCACGCCCTCGCCGTCTCCTCCGGCCACCTCCCGTCCGACCTCCGCATCGCCAACTCCCTCCTCTCGCTCTACCTCTCCCTCGGCTCCCCGGCGTCCGCTCGCCGCCTCCTCGCCGACATCCCCCGCCCGGACGCTGTCACCTGGAACACGCTCCTCCGTGCCTGCCTCCGGCTTGGCCTCCTCCCTGCCGCCCGCCGCCTGTTCGACGAAATGCCGGAGCGGGATGTCGTCTCGTACAACTCCATGGTGGCTGGGTATGTGGCTGAGGGCGACTTGGCCGGTGCGAGGAATCTGTTCGATGGAATGGCGCGGAGAGACGTGGTCACGTGGAACTCGATGATCTCGGGGTATTCTCGGCACGGGGACATGGAGAACGCCAGGAAGATGTTTGATGCGATGCCGGAGAGGGATGTCGTGTCATGGAACTCAATGCTGGATGGATATGCCCAGGCTGGGGACGTAGAGATGGCGAGGTTGGTGTTCGATGGCATGCCAAAGAGGAGCATTGTGTCTTGGAATGTCATTCTTGCGTTGTATGCAAAGCTGAGGGATTGGCGTGAGTGCTTGGGGCTTTTTGATGTGATGATAGCAGAAGGAAACACGGTACCAAATGAAAAAACGTTTGTGAGTGTTCTGACAGCTTGTGCAAACCTTGGCGATCTTGAGAAAGGGAGGTGGGTGCATGATTTGGTTCAGGAGAGGTGGGATAGGCTTGTGCCAGATGTTCTATTGCTTACGACATTGTTGACAATGTATGCCAAGTGTGGGGTGATGGAGACTGCAAGGGAGATCTTCAATTCAATGGGTGAAAAGAGTGTCCCCTCGTGGAATTCAATGATCATCGGGTATGGGTTGCATGGGCAAAGCGAAAAGGCTCTTGAGTTGTTCTTGGAGATGGAGAGAGATGGACCTAGGCCAAATGAAACGACTTTCATCTGTGTCTTGAGCTCATGTGCTCATGGTGGTTTGGTGCTTGAAGGTTGGTGGTGTTTTGACAGGATGGTCAGGTTCTACAGTATTGAGCCAAAGTCTGAGCATTTTGGCTGTATGATGGACCTTCTTGGTCGCGCCGGACTGCTTGAACAATCAGAGAATCTCATTGAGAATTTGCAAGGTAAGGTGTCAGAAGCATTGTGGGGCATACTAATGTCAGCCTCTCAAACTCAGAACAACATCAAACTTGGAGAGTTTGTCGGAAAGAAATTGATCGAGATGAGGCCAACAGAAGTCGGTCCATACATCCTTCTATCAAACATTTATGCGGCAGAAGGAAGATGGGATGATGTTGAGAAAGTAAGGAAGGTGATGGAGGAGAAGGGGGTGGAGAAGGATGCAGGGTTGAGCCTGGTAGGATCAAGGGAAGGTGGTCATTTCATTAATGAAAGTGGAGCTTCAGCTCCAAGGAATGATGTGATGCTGTGCATGCTGGGTGAGATGAGTGTGCATATGAAGCAACCATCTGAAGGGTCCAACTGCAGGAAAAGAAGCCCCTCTGCTCCTTGAAACTTGAACATACAGGGCACATTATTTTGCTGTGTGACTGTCAAAGGAGAACACAAAGATGGGATGTTTATGCCTCATTATCATGGTATCACCTACTATTTCTTGGATGATTTCAGCGTCAACTCAACCTAGGAATTCACAGATATTCTTGCTAGCTAACTGCATGAGAAGTTTGCTTGGACCATGGCTATATCACCTCTGATTGTCTGTAGCCGGGAGGTGAAACAAGCATCAAAAGTCAAAGAAGGTGCTCCAGGTAATGGAGGATCAAAGAATGCACAAGTATTATTGTTACAATAATGGATCATTTGGCAATCGCAATATTACATCAGAGCCGTGGTGTTACATCACAAAGTACAATGCTGTCGTCAAGGTAGAAAAGAGAACTGGCTGGTGTCCAATGACGCTGTCTGTTGCGATCTGCAAGAGGTATTTGGTCTTTGACTCAATTGGTCACGACGCACGACAGAGGAAGCGCTAATTTAATTTGCTTCTGTGAGACAGTGAGAGTGGAATTCTGACGTCGACCTGGAATTTGGATCTGATTAGAAACAACAGGACAAGTGCGAAAGCATATTCCAAGGGACATGCAGCTCTTGTGTTTATTCGAATACCATTTGCTTGGGCAACATTTGGGCACATAATACACACACCATATTTTTCTCCCTTGAAAATGTGAGACGCAAATTACTTGTATGCCTATGAAACTTTTTTATTCGATATCTCTGATGTCTCACCTACACAACGTGGATCACAAGTCGCCGTATCTTCTTTACTGGAAAAAGAAAAGAAAAAAAGGAATTGCCTCTTGAGCACAAGGGACAGGCTTTATTTTTTTTTTTCATTTTACACCAAACAAAGCAGAAGAAAAGTACTATATTTAATATTTAATTTCTATCAACATCTGACTACTTAATATTGCTGGCAGAATTACCCAATAAAAAAAAAGAAAAATGCTAATGACAGTATCCCGTTCGAACGAGATGATATCTCGGACACATTGTCAGACATCTAATAGGTATAAGTCGTTTCATCTGATGTATCATCCCGCCTCACCTCAAGGACAAGACGAGAAGCAGCATAAAAGTGCGGGCCCACAAAACGAGGGGCCCCCAACCCAAGCCTCCCCTGTCCGTGATAGAGAAGAGAATAGAAAGGCTTTAAAACCGGCACGAGAGATTCCGCCGCGGCCACAGATTTCGGTGCTCCTCCTCCTCCTCCCCCTCCTCGCCGCTGATCTCTCCCGTCCGTCCCCTCGCCTCCCTCACCACCGCGGCGGCATCAGGGCTCTCCCCCCCATGGCGGCCGCCACTCCCAACGGCATCCCAGCTTCCAGGTACCCTTCTCACCTCCCCCCCTTCTCCTCCGTTCTTCGTCTTCTTGAGAGAGGATGAGATTGTTGTGCGATTCTTTTCTTTGGGGGGTATGATTCTTCTCGTGATCCGTGCCTGTTTTGAATCCCTGGGGGTGGAGGCGATCCAAGCGTGGTCAGAATTCGGAAATCAATCACAGCGATCGATGAGTCGTAGTAGACTCGTGGGGGGAACACACGTGGGCTGGTGGCGATGAGGAAAGAGGAAAAAGCTTTAGATCGAAAAGACAGGGGAAGACGGATCCTGAAAGCTTCACATTGAAAAGGTTAGATCGCATTTGATCGAAATGCCAGGGGGCGATCAAATGACAACTCTAGTGGTGCGAATCCTGTGTTTGGTCGCTCCGTGCAAGAAATTGCACTGTAACCGCTGGAAGAAATGCTCTGCATGCACCTTATTAAAAGAAAAAAAAATATATCAGTTTTTGCCTCTGTAGTTTGCCACCTGTGTCAGGTAGTACCACTCCAATATGTGCACTTACCAACAATAGTTTCTCAAATGCTCAGTGACAAAAAGGAAAGGAATGATATACGACAATCAATCTCCAAAAGTACTATCATAAAGTTATCAATATTTTTAAACTTATTCTAATATAAAATTGGTTTTCGGAATTTCTAAAGTTCAACCGAGTCTATTAAACGTCGTATTGACCAGAGGGAGTAGCAATCTGTGATAAACAAGAGGAACAGAAAAATTAAATTGTCTGTCAGGCTTGGCCTTCTGTGTGTTCTTTTTGGTACAAACACCATGAAAAAAAATTAGGTGGATAGGACGTTAAAGTGATTATCTGATTCCAATTTTTGTGGATGGGACATCAGGTGGATAGGACACTGTTCTATGATCAGATTCACCATCTAGAGTTTTAGGCAATTGTGCCTTGTGAATGATTATCGGTTCCAATTCTTTCAGACCTCTGGCTTCATCAGTTCCAATTGAGGCAGTTCTGTTCGACATTGATGGGACCTTGTGCGACTCAGATCCTCTTCATCATGTGGCCTTCCAAGAAATGCTTCTTGAGGTATGGAATTCTTATACTTCTTGTTTTCCATTAACTTTTGTAGAAAGCTAATTGAGAAGATGTCTTTTTACAGATTGGGTATAACAACGGTGTGCCAATAGACGAGGAGTTTTTCATAAACAATATTGCTGGAAGGAGTGATGTTGAAGCTGCTCAGAATTTGTTCCCTGATTGGCCCCTTGAGAAGGGGCTGAAATTCCTCGAGGACAAGGAAGCTAAATACAGAAGGTACACTGCAGTTAATGACAACATCTATTGTGTCTAGTTTCAGTATACTCCACAGTTGTATTAAGGGTGTTTTCTTTTGGGTGGTGAGAAACGGTAACTACCAACCGTTGTTAACATTACTGAATCAGTATATTTTCCCAGACTGAATATTTATAATTTTTAACTTTTGCAGTTTGGCAAAGGAGCGTTTGGAACCTGTAAAGGGCCTTGCTAAAGTGGTTCAGTGGGTCAAAGATCATGGATACAAGCGTGCGGCTGTAACCAATGCCCCCAGGATTAATTCCGAGCTCATGATCTCCCTTCTTGGCCTCACAGATTTCTTCCAGGCCGTCATCGTTGGAGGCGAATGTGAGAAGCCGAAACCCGCCCCATTCCCCTACCTGAAGGCTCTCAAGGAGCTTCAGGTGTCTGCGGACCACACCTTCATCTTTGAGGTAAACCACTTCTTCTTCATTTGCATCTGTTGCAAACTTGTCATCTGGTTTTATTTGCAGTTGAAAAATGTGTGCTTTTGTTGCAGGATTCTGCTTCAGGCACACGTGCAGGCGTTGCTGCTGGAATTCCTGTTGTTGCTGTGGCAACAAGGAACCCAGAGAAGTCCCTACTGGATGCAGGAGCCACGTTGATCATCAAGGATTATGAAGACCCCAAGCTTTGGAGCGCACTTGAAGAGATAGACAGAGAGGAAGCCAAGCTAAAGAAAGCTGATGCATGAGATGAGGGTTCTCGATTAGATGATATATTGCAGGTTTAGCTCCTTTTGCATTTGCAGTAATATTGTAGCCGAAGTGATGGCGCACAGAGCTCATCTTTGCACTTTTGAGCTTCTGTGGTTTTATTATTCTTTGTTGCTACTCAGCCTATTGAGTTGGTACAGAGAAATAAAGACCCAAAACTCCCATTGAGTTATTCTTTATGGATGGATGTTACTTCTGAGAAGTTTCAGGGGTGATCTTGTTCATCCTGCCAAAACTATTGCATTTGCTTGGCTTCTTGTTATCTTTATCCAATGGTTAAGTTAAAAAAAAAAGAAGAAGACATATTTAACCAATACAGGAGCTACAAAAGGACGAAACTTGCAGACAGATTAAAGTCAAGAAAAGACAGAAATATATGAACATTTCTCCACTTTAAAAGGGAGGAATGCAGGAGCAAAAATATAAATGAGCTGACAAGAACCAGTAATTTCCAGTAAAATTTGCACGGTTGATGTACCAAACATTGCAGCCATCTACCATGTAGTTACAAAGTGGGAAAATACTGGCAGAGCTCAGTTTACAATTACCAAACATTGCAACCATCTACCAAGCATTTCTTCCCTCTTATAGTCATGCACTCGGTCAGTAGTCACTACATAGCTAAACACCCACCTGGTGATCATCCTTGGGGCTGCAGTAGAGAGTGCGGAGAAATGTTGCAAGGAACATTTACATGGGCAATCCATGTATCCAGACCCAGTTCTTCACTTCTTCATTTGAACTTGGAAAAAAAAACAGTAGCAGCAGATTCAAGAACCTTGAAGATTCCTCAATGAGTGCATTAAGCCCACAACACAGCACTCTCAAAATGAAGCCAATCCAGAAAAAAAGGTCACCAAGGTGGCAAAAATGGGGCAGCCCTCGATTAAATTGATGGGCAAAGCAATTGCTTATTCTCCAATGACCTGCACCTTAGCACGCTTCTGCACTTCATGGAGCATGCCTAAACTTGATGCATGATCCTCCCGATGATGCATTGCCTTCACGACGCGGAACAGATCCTTGATGGCGGCAAATTTATCCTCCTGTGCACAGCTGGGCTTATTCTTTGTTATACCGGGTCGCTTCCCGTAACTGGCCTCGAAGTCACTTGACTTCTCATTAGCCCTTTGAAGCACTGATGCAGGTATTCCTGGATATCAAGATACAAGTTTGAGTATTTGGCACCTGTTCCCCAATTAGATTTGCTAGAGAATTTTGAGTAAAAGCCGTAGCCAAAATATTAGCTTGGAAATAACCTGCCAATCGAGCAACATTTACACCATAGCTTTTGGGGCATGAACCAGGCGTTAACTTGTAGAGGAAAGTAACTTCTTCCAAACCTCCTTCTCCCTTGCTTATCTCACATGCCATATGGCAGAGTGATACCTGAGATGTGCGATATTCAGTTCCACAATTCAGTGCATAAATAATGTCTATTCAGGGTACAAGATATGAATCAATTACCTTGCTATCCTTATTTTCTGCTGCTAACCTATGGTAGTGTGTTGAAAATAAGCCTAGGCACTGCACATGATGAACTAGATATTCTAGAACAGATGCCCTGAGCAAATTAATAAACTCAATTAATATTCTCATAGGGAGCATAAAACACAGCAACAAGACTAATGAGATATCTTAGTACATAATAACTCAATGCTATGATCTTTTAAATCAACATACGCAATAGCTTGTCCATCAGAGGTTGATGTACCGCGCCCAAGCTCATCTAAAGCCACAAGAGAATTCTTGGTTGCTGATGACTGAAGAAAAAGTGGCACACAAAATATTAGATCAGTGAACATGAAAATTAATGTTTGCCATTCATATCAGGGAGGAGAAACTTACAAGCACAGAAGCAGTTTCCATGAGCTCCACTAAGAACGTACTTTGCCCAGCCATAATATGATCCCTTGCTCCCATTCGAACAAACATACGGTCAACAAGAGAAAGTTCAAAGCTTTCAGCAGGAACATTTGCTCCAATCTGCCAAACAAATTTGAAGTAATTCTGAAGTGTGAGGAAGCAAAAATAAAAAATAAAAATTGAGCTGCGTGTGAGGAAGCAATGTTGATGGATAATAAAATTGGTTACCTGTGCCAAAATTATGGTAAGACAAACTTGACGCAAAAGAGTTGATTTTCCACCCATATTTGGGCCAGTAAGAACAATAAAGCTGGCATTTCCAGGCCCACCCATCTTAATGTCATTGGGTACAAAAGATCCACTGCCTAAAGAATCACTTCGGAGGGTGGGGTGCCCTAAATTTCTTGCATGGAGAGTAGGAGTATCATCTGGACCATATGATTCTTTGATAATTGGACAGCAAGTTGGTCCCTCAAAAAAATCACTGGCAATAGCAAGACTAATCAAAACATCAAGCTCTGCATGTTAAAACCAAAGGTAGCATTTAGAGACCCACTAATATAATGCATGTGAATGTGGGCCATTGATAAGAACTTTTAACTATGCATCACATTACAAGTCACAGTTATCTACTAATCTTACTCCTCAAGAACCAATCAAATAATCAATACAATCATGTGTAAACTATTGTAAACATCACTATTGCTATTTTCATACTCATCATGTTATCAGTTGAATTACAAAGTAATCTTTTTTGTACTAAGCATGTCCTTAGAAATTGATATCATCATTGCTACCTAGCAGCTAGTTTTTGTTTTCAAATACAGTACCAGCATCTTCAATATCTCTTTTCAAATAAGATGGCAGATCAGAGTAAAGTGAAAAGGATAGGTAGCAGTCAGACAACAGAGAATTAGAAGAGTGGCACAGAGTACTGCTCATCTAAGTTAAAACTACAATTGGTTACAGAAATAAAATAACATTAGATGAAGAGTTACCAGCAACTACAGAAACCAATTGTCTCCACTTGCTGTGATGCTCAACAAAGAGTTGAATCAGATTCTGAAGAATGCATTTCAATTTTGCCTCTTTCTCTGCCTCAGCCTTAGAAAGTTCTGATATTAATTCTTTTACTTCTGGCGTCCAGTACCGATAGAAACCCTGGAGGCAATTGAAATTATATTAGAACTTCAATTCTTAATGGATAATGCCAGTTTGAGTTAAACATCTATAGGTCTATACAATACATTGTCACTATGTCTTCAGGCAAAGTAAGATAAATGAACTAGTACTTTAGTGTAAGGTGACTACAAGACAACCCACTATACATCGATACTGGATATAACAAAAACTGAAAGAAAGATAAAAGAAAAGTAGCATAAATGTAAACACTCAGGCTTCATATCCAGACGGTCATTGTATCTTAAAACAAACCATGCTGGCAAGAAGATCAGACGGCAATAGGAGATAAATGGACTTCATTAAAATTCTGAGTTCATTAGATCACTTTCATTCAGACAAATCATTCATGATTGATGTAAACTCCTTGTTTCAGAATTTAATCAGCATTGATAAAAGAGTTTGCAAATCAGTTTTTGGAAGAAACAAAAATATCAAGCAAGTCATCCAACTAAAGAAAATAAATAAACAAAAAAAATGGACAGGCTGAAAGGCTAGGCACAAGTACAGGAAAACACCTTTTCATTACCTTTTTTGTAGACTGCAACTCATAGTTATGGGGAACAGAACCTCGCAGGTTCTCAGACACTTCAAGGAGGTACGTATCCTTTCCAACATCTACATATTTTACCTGCACCGTTGCTCACTAGTTATTAAAAATTGCCAATGAGTATTAAACTATGGAAACTTTGAAAAGCATGACATGCACTACCGATGAATCACTCAATAGCTTTCTTTGTTCCTTCAGGTATTTTTGAAGACTGGATTCAATCTCCTCAATTGCAATGCAAGCAGCATCATATTGAGGATCACAACCTTCATGAGGTATGATCCGACCATTCCTGTCTGCTTCTGACCAATCAAATGCATCTCTGAAGTGGTCCAGAATAGAAGAAACATGTGGTAGCCCTTTGCCTGTAAACAGTTAACACATGCAACCTCACATTACACAATAAATGTAATTGAAACAATGTAATAAGCAACCAGACCAACGGAAATGATATTGAAGATCAAAAGAGTCACATATGGGTGCACTGAGAAACTAGTGAGAGAATTCAGTTACTCAGCTCATACCTAGTGATAACAAATCATTTAATAGAGAAGATCCATCTGTGCTTGTCAACATACTAATAGAAGAGCATGCTTGGAACATCTGCTGGCAACCACGAAGAGCAGCAGTAAACTGATGAAGCAGTCTCTTTGATGCATCTTCATAAAGAACAACTGACTTTGAACTTCTTCCATTCTTATCACTGCAAATAAGTTGTAGCCTTAAGCATTCAGATTAAACAATGAGCTAGCAGATTGCAGAGTTTAAGTGCTCCCTCTGTTTCAAATTACTTGTCTTTCTAGTTTTTTTCTTTATGTCAAAATACTGTCAATCTCACATTCCAAAGCATTTTTTGGCTAAATCTTCCCTCTCTACCCCTCATCAATGCATCTACACCACTCATTGTAATCCACACCTTCAACTCAAAGGAGTATTAGTACTGCTGTAATTAATAGGGGTAGCTTGGTAATTAACCATAGCTACATATTTTGTTTGAAAATTGCTAGAATGACACGGAGAGTAGAAAAAGTAAGACACCGAGAGAGAGAGTAGAAAAAGTAAGATTGCAATGAATGATCAAACCAAAAGGCACATAAATCCAGCTTATTACATTGAGATATTTCAACTAATTATTAAGCATATCATATAATACTAAATTACCAGCTAGAAAAAAGGCGTGCAAGTAGGCGCTCCATGTCTGGAAGCCGAGACAGATCCTTACGGAATTGGATAGCACATTCATGCCCAGATCCCTATAAATAAAAACGAGCAGTTGCATGATAAACATGGGGTACACAAAATAAACGTTATGTACAGAAGACTGATACTTTGTATATACAGCGAGTAATTTCATAAATTCTGTTTTCAACATGAATGATTTTACAGTTTAATTGATATTATCCAACTGTGAATAGACACATTGTACTTCACAAAGGTCATTAAACAGTGATTGTCCCCAAGGCTAAAAAATAAGATTCACGTTGTGATGGGAGTGTTTCATTCAAGTTACTTAGCATCATCATGTGACGTTTCCTAAGCAATAAGATAAAGAACCACTGCCAAGTACATGGAGGTATGTGTAAAATAGCACTTGATGCCTTGACCATAACAAGTAAATGCCAAGAGTAAAATTCAAACTAATATAACATACTGAAAGATATCAGATAATATCATGCTTGACAAAAATCCAAAATTGTGGAAACAATTTAATCGCACAAAAGAAAGAAAAAGAAGTCATTGTGATCACATTGAAGGAACACAAGCAAAATATAATGCTTTATTTTATTTTGACAGAAGCAGTGCTTTATTACTTCCATATTATAGAAGCATTTCATTAAAATAAAATAACCAGATGAAGATATTTCGTGAAGTTCCCGTCCATGTAGATATTCACAGATATAAATATATAACAGTTGAAGGCACTTCACTATTAAAAAGGAGAAAATGCTATAGGTTTAAGAAACTCCTATCTGTACTTATATAGCAAATAGTGAATTGCCAGCAAAGCAAGAATAATTATCGGTTTTCATGTTTCCTAGTAAGGATTAATGAACCTGAGGTGTCATCAATAATTTTCCATCCCATGCCTTTCAAACTCATTAATACTACTCTCCCCTGGCACACACTGATGCTGAAAAATAAAAAGAAGGAAAGGCTCCCTATTTTCTGCTCAAGTGGAGAACAATGCCTAAAAATGAAAACACGAACGATGCGTGGTCATGTACAGGTCTGATTTTTGATTTATTTGTGCAATTTTGCAAAAGGCATTTTAAAGACTCCTTTCCAAATAACAAAAGAAAATTTTATTTGTAGGAAATTTCTTTCCACAAACAGAAACCTTGAAAGTAGCGATGGCACTTTGACGCTGTAGTATTGCCTGGCGTTCATACAATGGCCTTGCAATCCACCTTTTAAGCAACCTTTTTCCAAATCCAGTAACACAATGATTTAACTGCGCATACAATGTCCTGCAAGAAAGCAAGAGTATCTTGAGATAATGAGATAAGAATATAGTTTCTAGAGAAAACTAACAGAGCAAAGCAGGAAATACCCTGAGAGACCACCATTTCTTGCATTTTCTAAAATTTCCAGATTTTCCAATGCTGCCGCATCAAGTATCATATGCTTGCGGATAGGGTTGGTGAGCCCTGAGCATGTAAGGCGCTCAAACTCAGCACATGGAAGCAATTTCTCATCCAGAAGGGATTGCCTTAAATAAAACAAAGAACCACCAAGAGCAGAAAGTGCATATGTTTTGTCTCCCGCTTCAATTAGCTCACTCAATAGCTCAGGCAGATAGGCAGAACTGATTTGTGCACCGGCACCAGGTGTGTCCAATGAGCAATAGTATTGCTTTATTTCATGAATAGTTTTCTCTGCATCCCAGAACTCCATGGATGGAAGCAAATTGTTTATTAAAGGGTCTCTCGTATTGCTCTTCAGTGCTTTCTCAGTTTCTGGACTCAACATTTTAGCTGGTTTTATGATTTCTGCAGGCCTAATCTCAGATAAAATAGAACATAGCCCATGGCGTTCAGCATCATCTTGGAACTGAAAGCAACAAGTGTACATTGACACAAGGGTACCCAATCAATAGCATTGATTTTAAGAAATTTATCCACTTAATGCAAATGAAAATGAACCCTAGTCTCCTAGAGTCACTAACCTGTCCTACAATAAATTTGCTTGTTGAAACATCAACTATGCAAACACCAATTGTATGACCATCTTGATCCTTCTCTGAACCACACTGATAACTTTCAGCCACAGAAAATAGATATGATGGATCTGGATTTGCCAGCAGAGACTCCCCTTCTGTCAATGTTCCTTTTGTGACCATTGCACATATTTCACGCCTCACAACCTTCAAAGTAAAGCACACCAACCACAAGAACAACATTACTCATGTTTCCCGAAAAGAATAATCATATGTAAACTGAATATAACTAAAAAGTTCCAGATTTAAATCGATGTCATAGTTCTGTAATGACAATGTATTTGCATATTGGAACAAAAAGAGGTAGCACTGGTGAGACCATGAGACTTAAAATAAACCTTGTCTTTTACACCAGTTTCTTTACGGCGGAGGTCAAGCTGCTCCGGTGTTTCAGTCTGCTCGATAACCAGAACTCGATAACCCTGTGATGCAACCAACTCTGTTAGCTTATTAAAAATGTAATTATTTTCCATGGAAGAATAAAATCATATCAAACATGATCTGACCTTCTTAGCTAATTTCTCCAAATTCAATTCAAAATTCTTCTCCGGGAATCCACAGTGAGGCTTGTCACCCTAACATGATATGATCCAAAATGAGTAAATACTAACCGTTATGCCATAAGAATTAAAACAAAAGCTGGATTGTGCAGTGACAGCAGTATACTGAATAAGCAGAAGAGAATTTACTACCTTCATATACTGAAGATCAAGCTCCTTTGCCCCAACATGTGCATCCATTTCAAATAATTCATAGAATTTGCCCATCTATTTCAAATTCATAGAATATTTACTAAACAAGGTAGCCTTAACTTTAGTATTCCACAACTGTTACAAAATATAGTTGTACCTTGAAGAACAGAACTTTATCCATGTGCTGTGATTTAAATTCCCACCATTGCCTCTATTAAATCCATTCTAAGAGTTAGCAAGAGATGCAAGTCCAGAGTAGAAGTGAGATGTATAATTAACAAGGAACTAATACCTGTCCGCCTGTCAAGCTATTCAAGAACTGGGAAGGCAAGGAAAGAGTTCTAGGATCATAGTTGGGGTTTCCGGGTCGTCTCCCTTTCGCATCCTTACGCCCTCTAAAGTTGAAAACAATTACATAAAGTAAGAAAAATTGATCAAATGAAGTTTATGCCACCAATAAGTCCATTATTTCCACATAAGATGGGTGTGCGATATTCTATCTATGCAGCATGACAAAAAAGAGAAATATGGGGCATAACATACTAAACTTGGAAAATATGCACACTTCAATGGCATATTCAAATATGAGGAGGTCCTCCAGGCAATCAGAGCATGACAAGACTACAGTGCATACATTGTTAGATAAACAACATACTTTGCATCAGTTGATCATGACAAGGAAGTACTCCAATACTCTCCTAAAAGGAAAAAAGAAAATCTTTTAAAGCAAGTTAAGGTTCTAGTTTGCTGCAACCAGCCACTACCACGGTATTAACTTTCAGAGTTGCAATTAGTTTCTGGAAGAGCATGGAAATACTGGTACATATAGCTTCAGAAAAACATGTGTGACATAGTGAGGTATTTGTAAGACAAAGGACTGTATAAGACTGAGCTTAATTTGTGGAAGACAGGAATAGATACTTAGTAAAGATTCAAGAAAAGTATGGTGCAATAAATTCAAGCCTTCGTCAAACTAATTTAATGCTATTGTACAGATTTCGCCAATCTAACCATAACTTATGACTGTTTTGGGAAAAAAAAAACATATACAACCAAGATCTAAAAAGTGTTCTATTTACATCGCAAACAAATGACACAAACTAGCAATCAAAAGGTACTCACTCCCCAAGGAATTTAAACTTTTCTGCTTGCCGCTGCGCAAAGCGCTCGGCGACCTCTCCAGTAAGAGCGGTGAGAGCATTCTCTAACGGCTGCTCCCCTGTAACAATGGCAAACAAATCACATACCGAAAAACCAAAGCTGAACTTGTCACCAATTCAGATTCTACCACTCACTCTGGCTACAGCTGATTGGCACTTTCAATTCGACTTTTCCAGTGGTATTAGCTGGTTCAAAGCTGAACTTTTTAGCGCAGTCCAACGCACCCGCATCGACTTTTCTCCTCTTCTTCGACAATGTGGACCCTGAAATAGAAGCCGAGCCCAAACCGGATGCTAATTTTGGCGTCGAAGCCGACGTCGACAAAGGGTTATTTTTCTTTCCCTTTCTTGTTTTCACAGCAACAACCTCCTCCTCATCGTCTTCTTCATCATCCAGCTCCACCTCCTCCGAATCATTCTCTGCCGCAGCATCATTCTTCCAGTCCTCGTCCTCCTCCTCAGCGGAATCCGCAGTCTCATCCCCACCCCCACCACCATCCACCGCACCAGGTGACTTGGCCGTTGCGGCATCCGACATCCGCCGGAGCCGCCGCAGCTTCCTCGACGGCTGCGGGGTCACCTCCTCCTCATCGGCGGCGGCGGCCCACTCGTACCTCTCGCTCGCGAGGTCCACCACCTCCTCCTCGCCGTCGTCGTACCTGACGCGGTGCCGCCTGGACCCCACGTCGTAGCCCTCCACCCTCCCCTCGTACCACGCGTCGTCCAGCGGCCAGTACACCCGCAGCCGCCTCCCCACCGCCGTCTCCTCCTCCTGCGGCGGGGATGGCGGGTTGGGAGGGGGAGGGGAGGGGACGGCGAGAGGGGGCTTCGTCGCCCTAGGGTTCAGCGGCGAGGGCGAGGGCTTGGCGGTGGGGGAGGAGAAGAAGGCGGTGATCTGGCTCTGCTTGCGGAGGAGCGGGGAGCGGCCGTTGCTGAGGCGGCGCGACGACGGCGACGCCATTGGAGAGGGGGGAAGGAGTGGGTGGGGGGTTTTTGCGGGGGATTTGTTCGCGGCGACGGCGAGGGATGGGGGAAAATGGCGCGGAGATGTGGCGGGAAAGGGGAAGAGGCGAGGCGGCGAGGCATGGCTCGCTGACAGGTGGGGGTCACGAACCCAATGGAGACCACTACTAACCCACCCAACCAACTTTTTTTTTTTTTTTACAAATTGATTCTTTTTCGAAACTAAATCGTGCAAAAAAAAAAAAGAAGAAAAACAACTAACAATAAACCGCCAACTCAGCGCCAACCATTATTGCGCTGAGATTAAACTTCTCAATACCAAGCTAGTTGACACCAGTGTCGTGGAAGACGGAATACGGGTGACGGACGGAGGGGTACCGCCAAACAATTAATCGGAATACGGATGATTTATTAGAATTTGACGCATATTTAACGTTATGTAAACATATGTATGTAGTTGATAATAGTTTGCCTTTTTAAGATGTAAATGCATACAACAACATACGTTTGACCATATTCCTACAAATAATGTTTAAATAGGACATCCATAACGTTCATAATGCATAAATAGTTAGTTGTACATCTACTAAAAGAACTTCAAGCGTGCACATCTGTTTAAGATTTAAACAAAAGATTAAAATAATATACAATAAATTTTTAGATTTGGAAGAGAATTAGAGGGAAAGAAAATAAAACAAACGTACAGGCTGTACAACTAGTACGGAGTATATACCACTAGGAAAAAATATACTTTGAGTCCCTCAACTATCGCCCGAGTATGATTCATATCCTCCAACCACAAAACCAGGTATATCAACTCCTCCAACTATCAAAACCAGTACAAACAATGCCCCTAGGTGGTTTTAGAGGTGGTTTTGGATGATGTGGCGTCTACGTGGCAGTCTTGACCGAGTTTTTATCCTACGTGGCGCTTACGTGGCATTATAATAAAAAAAAGAAATATGTAGGACCCATATATCATTCCACAAATAAAGTATTATGGAACCCACTGAAGCACGGCGAGTGGGTCCCATAATACTTACCTTCTTCCTCCTCCCTCCCTTCCCTTCCCTTCTCTCTCCTTCCCTTCTTCCTCCTCCCTCCCTCTCTCTCCCTTATCTCTCTCCCCCGGCCTTTCTCCTCACCTTGGCCAGAGTGGCGGTGGGGAGCGGCGGCGGCAGCGGGTAGGAGTGGTGGCGGTGGCGGTGGGGACAGCGGTAGGGAGCGGCGGTGGCGGATTTGGTTCCTAATTGTCGGAATTTGCTCGCTGTGCTCGAATCTGCGTTGTGTGGATTTTTTCCCCAGTGATTTGTGGGTGTTCGAATCGCATGCATTTGGTGTGAATGGCTTGAAATTTTGTTGGTGATTGTTGTTCTGCTGAAATTTGTTGGTCCGTTTCAGTTGGAACTCGCATGCGCTGCTGATGTTCACGGAGGGGTTAGATCGAGACGCCCTCAAGTGGGTTCGTGAGGTGAGAGTTCGAGCTCGCCGTGCTCCTCCCGAAGTGGGTCCCATAATACTTTATTTGTGTGACTGACATATGGGTCCCACATATTTCTTTTTATTTTTTTTTATTCTAATGCCACGTAAGCGCCATGTAGGATAAAGACTCAGTCAAGACTGCCACGTAGGCGCCACGTCATCCAAAACCACCTCCAAAATCACCAAGGGACATTGTTTGCACAGGTTTTGATAGTTAGAGGAGTCGATATACCCGGTTTTGTGGTGGGAGGATATGAATCATACTCGGCCGATAGTTGAGGGAGTCGAAGTATACTTTTTCCTACTACTAAGTACAGAAGATAGCTAATGGGCCGGATAGTTGTTCTGTGGACTGGGCCTTGTGATCACAGTGGATTATGCGGCCCATTAGTCGGAAACGGCTGATTAATCGGGAAATGACGGTAATTAGGAGTTCACAAACGACTAATGAACACCGTTTTGTAAAAACATGACGGACAACTCACCGTCTCCGATTGAACGGCCGTATCAACCGTTTTCCACAATACTGGTTGACGCTGACCATCCCACCAACGTGGCAGCCGAGCCGATCCCCTAGTCTATGTGGCAGGGGCTCAGCGCCAAGCCACTAATGTTAGTACCAGAGCAATTGGCCCTGAGCTTTGGGACTTAGTTGCTCGCGGCCAAACCGCTGAGCCGGCAAACCTCAGCGCTACAGTATTTGGCGTTGACCCTAAAGGATGGTTGCCGATCGAAGCTTGGACCACTTTTTTTCTCCTATAATCACTGCTTTTCCCAGCAAACCACTATGACATCTGCAGGTGACTCTGACACAAATAAAGCTCCTCTCGAACCTCCGCCGTGGCATCCGAGCCTAGTTAGAGGCTAGAACCATAGGCTTGAGACCACACGTTGGATCCCATCACTTCCCTGCTAGAAACATTGGAGTACTATCTTGAAGTCATACTGTAGTTTTTTTTATTAGATACATACGTTCGGTGAACACAGGTGAGTTAGTTCATTTCCCGGTTCAAAGTTTCTTGCATATGAGATACCGAGAAACCTCTTATTGCGTTCGGGATGGTGGAAAGAACTGAGGGCTTATTCGGATGGAAAAAACGCAGCTGATTTGCATTCATATGGATTAATTTCTATGAATACCATTCGGACTGTAAGAATGAAGTATAGGAAAATCAAAATAACTTTTCCTTTTCTACAAGTTGTACAGAGAAAACATAGAAATTTTTTCATTCATTCTAAACCTCTTGAAAAAAATTATATGGATTGGTGTATGCATACATTCCTATTCCTCCACTTTTCCTATTTCTATGGGTTAAAATTCCTACAACTCGAATAAGGCCTAAACTTATGTTGGCACGAAAAATAGGACAATAGTATATAATGTAATAAATTAAATATTAACAAAATATATTGTTTAGCTGTTTAGCAAACATGCTCAACGAAAACAAGTACTCCCTCTATCCCAAAATATAAATCTAGGACTGGATGGGGCATTTCCTAATACAACAAATCTGGACAAGCAGTATGTGCAGATTTGTTGTACTAGGAAATGCTCCATCCGATCCTAAATTATTATATTTTGAGACTGAGGGAGTAGTATTTCTAAGTTTCTCCTTAAGCCATGCCCAATGCGTGGTCTTAAGCATGTGGTTCTAGCTTCCAACTAGGTTTAGATGCCCCAGTGGAGGTTTGGAATGAGCTTCATTTGTGTTAGAGTGACCTGCAAATGCCACGGTGGTTTGGGGGAGGAAAAGAAGTGGTCCAAGTGACCAAGCCCAATCGATTGCCATCTGAAGAGAAAGTGGGAGAGAGGATGTACCTCGTCTCGTCGTCGGGAGGGCCCCACCACCACCATCAGCCTCTGCGGAGCTTGCTGACCATTTCGAAGTGGGGAGAGGAGAGTGGGGGCGCCGCTATCGCTCGAGGAGAAGGGGAAGGGAGAGGCCGGCGAGCTCACGGCCAAATCCGCCACTACCGCTCGCGGATAAGGGAAAGGGGAGAAGCTGATGAGCTCCTGACAAGATCCGTCGCTGGCGTCACAGGGAAGGGGAGGGGGACATGCCGATGAGCTTCCGGCTAGATCCATCGTTGTTGGAGATCCGCTGCCGGCGCTCGCCGAGAAGAGGAGGGGGAGAGGCCGGCGAGCTTGCGGAGATATACCACCCCCGTTGGGATCCGTTGTTGCCATGAAATCCTCCACCGTCATTCACAGAGAAGTGGAGGGGGAGAGGCGACGCACGACGCTTCGGTCTCGTGTGGAATAGGAGGCGTCGTGGGAGAGTGCGGTAGGGAAGAGAAAAAAAAGATAGGGAGAGGCTGATAGTGGGTCCATGTGAAGGTTAGGGCTATCTATGTTCTTTTTATAAGGTCTAAAATAGTAATAATAATAATAAGATATACTACATAACGACCGACACATATATATAACCAGAGGCCGAAACATAAAATATATACTTTTGAAGTGGTTTGTATTATGGGTAATGTGATCTTTGTGTGATCTCATCTTACATGGCACCTTGAGATCACGAGTTAGCAGTGGTCTCCGTTTACATGTCCTTATAACTCATCTAATAAAAATGAAAATAATTTCCATTACCTAAAGAAGAAATGAAAGACCTCTGCTTTGCTCTTGTCCCCTACCCCAGTTTAGCCGTCCTGCTGGCCTCACATCCGACGGCTCATGTCGCATCCGCTCCAGCCAAACGCATCATCTCAGCCGTCGCCCCTCACACACGCACACACACTCTCTCTCTACAAGAAAAAAAAAACTATACTTAATAATAAGATTAGAATTTTAAAAGCCAAGGGGGGCCCACGGACCAGCCACACATTTCCACTGACACGCGCTAACAATTGCTACTATTTGCATGCAAACCACAAACTCTACAAACAAAGCCGCCTCATTTCTCCAACATTAAAACCTCTACTTCCCCCACAAAAAAAATTAAGAAAAATCGATTTTTTTTCCTCCTCCTCCACTTTTCTTCGCTTCCTCACTACCACCTTCTCGTTGATCCTCCTCCCCGTTCTTGGCTCCCCTCGCATTCGTCCTCACTTCCCTTCTTCCATGGGGGTTCGCCGCCGTGAGTGAGGAGGAGGAGGAGTAGTACTAGGAGGAGGTGAGGCCATGGAGAGGGTGGAGGATCCGGACCTGGAGGACCCGAACCCGGACGTGGGGGAGCTGTTCAGCCACTACGACGGGCTCTACTTCCGCGGCGCGCTCGCCGGCGCCGGCTTCTCCGTCCAGTGGAGCTCGCCGCCGTCGCGGATGGCCGGGTAGGGTCCCTTGCTCAGCTCACTGGCCCTCTCAATCTCTTGCTGAGGGTTTCTTGGAGGAGCTGCATTCTTTTCTGGTCTTTTTTTCTTCTTTTTTAATATATCCAGAAAATTTGCAGTTCATGGGAGGAGTTAGTAGCATCTCGGTGTGATGCTGTGGGAGAAATCTTTGTAGCACACTTGGGGTGTTTTGCTTTCTCTGTGATTCTCTGCACTTGCTGCTGCTGCTGCTGCTGCTGCTTTGATTTTTTTTGTTCGAATCCCTAGCAAGAGACGGATTGATCATCTCTTCTTTTTCCGGGCGATTTCAGAGGGAGGGAGGGTTTGGTTTTCTTGGTTTGTTAGTTCTCCATCCTTCAATCGACAAGCTTCAGGGTGTTGGTGATCTTTCACGAAAGGTTTCGTCTTTTTAGAAAAAAACGCGAATATTAGGGAAGTAGCTAATATCAAATACTAATTATTAGAAGGGGTGGCTTCGAACCCAGGTCCCACTACCTTGTCGAGCTAATATCAAATGCTAATTATTAGAAGGGGTGGGGCTTCGAACCAAGGTCGTCTAGCCCAGTACCTTCTCGAGCTACCGGAAGACCTCAATTTCGTCTTTTTAGCATTTGGCACTTGAAGTGACATAAATGGCGCCGCTTTTGTGCACTTCTTGCTGAGAAGAGCTTCTTGTCTACAAGTAGATCATGCATATTGTAGTTTGCATCGATATAGATTCTTTTTTTTTAGATTGGCACTTTGGGGGGTTAGTACTCAACGGAAACCAGTAATCGCCGGTAGAAAAAAAATGTTTTGGGATGAAAGAGAAGTACATAATCTGTGACCAAGTTCATTCATAACTGTCTCTTGTTAGTGTGCGGGTTTGCTTAATGAGATTTGTGCATGATTTCTAGTAGTACCTACTTTTGGATCACTTAGACGGATAGTAAAGACTAAAAACCTTTAAAAATTAAATCATTAGCAGTTCATTATACTCGGTGAAGTAGGCTGCATTCATTGGGTAGACAATAAGAAGTTTGGTGATGCTTCTAGCATTCTGCTTAATCTGATGGTTGGCCGGGTTGGGTAATGGGTTATGCATGTACAGTACAGAATAGGTTGGGGAGATCATCAGCCAGTGACGTGGATGAAACAGCATGTATCTAAAAGTTTGTGTCAGATAGCATTTCCCCATGATTGATGGCTTCAGTTAAGCAAATCCTCCTATCTTCTTGAGAATACAGAACATGCTTCACTATCACATCAGATAAACTTTAGCAAGAGAGGAAAAAAAATGTTGATTTTGGGATTAAAGATGCTTGTTAGTATATAACTATTTTGTTCAATAAATAGCTGCCCTCTGTAAAGATTTATAGGTACATCTTGGGGAAATAACTAGTTTGTTTGTCTATGCAGTTCTTTTGGATCGTGTACCTTCGGAAAACCGGATAATACCATAACATTGTCTGAAACTGTGCTGAAATATCGCTCAAGTATTGATATGAAGAATGCATTGCTGCATCAGATGATCCATGCAATCTTATTTGTAAAGCATCATAGGAAGGACTGCCGGTAAATGTTTGCTTGTGTTAGCTAATAAATCTTGTTACTCTCTGCTTAATTTCAGTGAATTCATGCAGGGGTCATGGTCCTATTTTTCGTGCTTGGATGACTGCTATTAACACCTGTTCTATTGACGATCACCAGGTCAGTCTTTTCTGTAAGATAAGCTATAGTTTGCTGCGCTTCATTGATGATTTCTGAATTCCTTTTTTTCCTCAGAGACCACCTGATGGGTACAATATCACCACCAGACATGATTTTTCTCCGGACAAGTCCACCCGCAGCCTAAGTGGTTTTTTGTGGAAGGTAATTCTGAACTTCTGTCACCTCCTTTCATTTTTTTCTCCCTTTTTGGTGCTAACTTTCTTTTTAACCTTTCAATTATCATAATCTGTTGTGTTCAATTACAACCTTTCAGTGTGAATATTGTGGGAATACACTTGTGAGAGCCACAAACATCGGTGCTCCATCTGATGCCTGCTGCATTGAGAATGTTGACAACTGCTCAACCTGTGGCAACATGCTTTGCCACTGGCATAAGTAAGACTCAATAGTTTTAGAATATAGAATAGTACCAAAACAATGCACAGACAAAAGTATGAGCTCAATCTATTTGAGTCTCGTTTGAAAAATATATGTGCACTGTTCATTCTTCGTTTTGTTCTCTCTTAAGAAATCACAAGTGAAAAGCAGATCAATAAAACTGGGGAAACTGGATGCATATTTGATTTTGGAAATTTCAACTCAAAACTGATCACTAAATGCACATACCTGATGCGTGTTATTGTGAATATATCAAAATCATCTATGTTTGAGCATTCTAAATATAACAAATCATCTATGCTTGAGCATTCTAAATAACTTTTATTTTCAGCAAATGTTTGCAGCAGTTGATTGCAAAGATCTGTTATTGACTCAATATGCTATTTTCTGCAGCCACAAGATGAACTGTGGTGGCACATACACAAAGATGGGCACATCAACATCGGCAGAAGTTCAAAACAATGTTCAAGGTAATTTTCAAATTTACATGGTATCTCCTTCTGTTTATCAGCAGTGAACTAACCGTTGAAGAGTATGGAAGCCAAGATCAGCTCCTGTGCTTCATATATTTCTCTCTTTTCTACCCCATTCGTTTCATATTTTTTTTGAAAGGACCCATTCATTTCATATTATAAGTCGTTTTGAGTTTGACCAAGTTTATAAAAAAAATATAGTAGCATTTCTAATACAAAACAAACATTGTATCAAAATATATTCAATGCTAAATTTAATAAAACTAATTTGGTGTTTTATATATTGCTAATTTTTTCTATAATTTTGGTCAAACCTAAAAAACTTTGATCAAGAAAAAAGTCAAACGACTTATAATATGAAACGGAGGGGGTAATAGTTTATCCACCCAAACCAGTTACGCTCAATTCAACTACAAAATTATGTGTTTTGGAACAAAAATCAGATAGTCCTGTTTATATTGAAAGCCACAGCATTTATACAGTGATACAGAGGATACCAGTGTCCAAAGTACTACCATAATAGAAATAAGCAAAATGACATGTAGGTTCGCAGTTTTCTATTACACTTTATTTTCCCAATCCACTCCACTTGTCTTGACTCTTGAACTGAAACTTTGTTGGTTAAAAATCTTGGCATCAAGAAGCTTGATCTTCATTTCAAGTCTGCCTGCATCATTTGATCACTCAAACAATCGCCGATTATGTAGCAAGTAGCAATAGAAGGCTTCAATAAACCCACGGTGATGGAAATAACTAGTAGCGAAGTTGTGCAACAATAATTATTTCTACATGAGGAACTCGGGTTTGGCCCTTTCCCTGCACAACATAGTAGATCATAATAATGCCTTGCCACAGTTGAATTGATTATTTTAGGCTTGTCATTCTGCGAATTGTGGTAATCCCACCATTTATGTAATGTGGCATTCCCCAATTAGAATGTAGACTTTAAAATGATATCAAAATATCAGTTTTGTTATACCTATCTCTTTTGTTCTTATCATTAAAGTACATGTTACCAACCTTATAGTTTCTCCAGGTACAAAAAGATGCCCAACTGACATGAAAATGGCCAAGTCACAAAGAACCATACGGAAACCAGAGTCACCAGATTCAGATGGATTGCAGGAGAAAGCTACTGTCATGAAACAAAAAGCAGAAGGCGAGCTTCTCGCACTTGTGGCTGGCAGCAATTTAAAATTAACAGGAAGTAACTCTTCAAAGAAGGGAGTGAAGAGGCATAGGCCTGAAGACACTCAAGACACAAATGCTATGCTTTCTACCCCTCTGAAAAACCTGAAGCTGGGCCTAGACTTGGTTTCATCTGGGAAGCACAGGGTGTCATCTATAGTTGGTAGCAATAACACAAAATCATCAAGAGGTAGTGCTTCAAGGAAGCAACGCAAACGACATTCACCTGAGAATGTTCAGAAGTCCAGTGTTCTGCCTGCTCTCTCTCAAAAGAAGCTGAAACTGAAGGAAGACCTGGTTGTATCAGGGAAGAACGAGCCTTTATCCCTAGTGAATTTCAGCAATGGAAAATCAGCAGGAAGTAACTCATCAAAAAAGGTAAGCAAGCAGCATGAACTTGAAGGAGTTCAGAAATCCTGTGTTCAGCCTGCTAGCCCTCCGAGAAAACCGAGGCAAGATCTTGTTGCATCGGTCAAAACCGAGATTTCTTGTCTAGCCAGTCGCAGCGATGCTAAAGTGTTGAGAGGCAGCTCCTCAAAATGTGCAGGCAATCAGCATGAGCCTGCAGACATTCAGAAAAGCATCGCTCTGCCTTCTGCCTCTGAAAGTAAACTCAAGCGACAGAATGAAATTAGCTCCTCAACTAAGGCAGGGATGCAGGACAAGCCTAGAGGCACTCAGAAAACCATTGATCTGCCTGCTTCCCCTCAAACAAAACTGAAGCAATCAGTGTTGCAGAAGCAAAAGAGACAGTGCGGAACTAGGAAGTCAGCTAATGAGCAATTTGCCGTGATTAGTGCTTGGCTGAACTACTACGAGTCAGAAGGATCAAGTGGATCAACTGAGCCCCTTGTAAACAAAAGAACAGAGCGGAGAAGGATAGCGAGGAATAGGATAACTTATACACGGTCAAGGAAGCAAAATGCCAGGGGAAATGCTTCCATCAAGTCCCAACCTTCTGAAGATGACTCGTCTCAAGCAAAAGCTGCAGCTCCATGCTTGGAGATTGTTGTTAGCACCCCTTCTGAGCAGGTGGTAAATCAATCCCCCGGATGCCAGTCCCAGTCACCAGCTCCATACTTGGCGATCGTTCCTTTCGACGCTGCTCATGATATGGTTCCACTTCAGTCAGCAGATCCACCCGGTTTAACTGATGATCCAACCATTACTTCTGGCATAATTGATATTTCAGATGATGACTGATTTTATTTTCGAATTGGCATTGATCCTGCAACAGGCAATGCTTTCGATGGATGAACAACATACTGGATGCTAACAAACTATTGGTGTTAGGCTCGCATCATTTTGGAAATTGACATTGTTTTTGCATAGTGCCTAATATAGAACAGTAGCTGCTTATGAGCATAGGATTGCAAATTTTGCAACTCATGTTCGAACCACAGTAGCATAAATTCTTATAGTCCCAGCAGGATCTCAGAAGTAGACTCTTATATCTTGGGCACAAACCTCTGAATTATGATATGTAAAATGCAATTTCAATATAGTCTTCTGTGAACACTGTGCTAGTAATAGAGCTTCTGGGTTCTGGCTTTTGCTGCAACATCCTGAGCAGCCCGGCTTGCGTGAATATAGTCTTCTGTGAACACTGCTAATAATTTGCTTTAGATTATTGAGCGAGCTGAACCAGCCCAATTTGCTTTAGATTATTGAGCGAATTATTATTATTATTATTATTATTTAGAAAAACAGTATAAATGTAGGCATCCATAACGTACATACTCACCTTACAAATGCACATAAGTACATTGTATTCTTATGAGCACCTCTAAAAAAACTGGACGGACGTATCCGAAAGAATGAGCATCCATACAAATGCACACAATTACACCCTATCCTAAGAATGAGCACCCCTACAAATACCCTATCCTTATGAGCACACTTGAAAGACTAGACCGACTTACCTTTAAAAAAAATAATTAGCCGTAAAAATAAACACCCATGTCAAGTCTAGAATTTAAACTAGGTGGACTGATTCTACCACAAGCGAATGAATTATTGTTGTAGATTATCTAATTGATTATAGTGATAGATTAAGTATTTTAAGAAATAAACTAAACAAATAGCTTAAAATAAAATCAGTGATCCAAACAACACACCAGTATAAAGTTTTTTTTGTGTGAAAAATATATTTTTCTGAAGCATAGAGCAAATAATTTGTTTTGTTTTAATATTTCGGTGAATAAGCCGAAAAGAATTGGAGTTAGTTCTCTCGCTGTTGCAGCGTTGGCTTCTGCTCGCGGTTAGCCGTGTTGCGGTTAGCTGTGGTAGTTGATGCGGCTTTAATCTACTTGATGCAAATTTGTGCCGACTAATTTGAGTTGTTGCTAATCTATTATAGTCTTGTTTGTAGATCTATACTAACACTAGAAACTGGTGCCAATATTCTACTTGGGGAAGCAAATCAAATCCACATAGCTTTGTTTAACTGAGTAATTACGGAGGTTAGCAGGAGCTTAGCATGTTTATGGGTAAGTACCACCAGACAAATTTTAAGAAACACAAGAAAGTACATATCTCAAAAATTTCTGGCCAACCAACTTATAATATATACTCATTGGAAAAAAAAAAACCTCATTTGGCTAGCAGATGACGCTGTCGACATCACGTTAGCATGCAAAGAGAAGGTTGAATGCAGACGGGCTCTGAACCTTTTTATACCTCCGTTATCAAGTCTGTAAAAAAGGTAATCTAGAGTATGTACGCAAGAAAGTAAAAGCCAAACTGAAAAGAATTACAGACTAATGAAAGAAAAGAAGGAACAGAAGGAGACGAATCCACAAAAAAATAAAATAAAATAAAAAGGTTTTACTAAGCCTTTTGCTCTACGGACTACGGGTCACAAACCCTTTGCTCCAATGATACCAGGTTTGAGCTTGACAAGTATTCCATCCGCGTGTCTTATGGTGGCCCCTCGTCGTCGAACTCGTTCATGTGATCTAGGAGATAGTTTGCCGCCAGCTGCTCGTCCTTGTTGCAAGCGAAGAACACGTCCAGAACAAGCGCGCGGTCAAAGCCCATTGCTTCAAGCTTAGGATGTGAAAGAAAGGATGTTATGCTAGTTATGTGTAAAGCAAATATTCTAAAAGCAAGATGACAACTAAGCAGAGCATAGGGGAATTCGGGATTTTTCGACTCACACGAAGTATGGCTTCATTCTCCTCTGGAGTAACTGCTATGGTCTGTGGCATTGCCTCTGGAAACTGGTCTAGCAAATTCCTGGTTCAGAAAGGGAAAGATTGTTAATACAGCAAACGCATCAGAAGAAAAGAGTTATGATAAAAGCAAAGATTAAGACATACTCTTCATCATCACCCTCAGCTGGTTCATTGATTAAGTGGAGGAACTCAGCTTGGTTTTCCTGAATCAGCTGCAAAATCTGGGGATTTTGTTTCCCCAATTCTTGAAGCAATGGCTGCAAATGAATTGGCCAGTCAGTGAGGTTTTTTATTTTTTTTTTATTTTTAAGGAAAGCAGTATGAGAAAAACCTGTAAAATTTGAGGATTGGCTTGCACTAAAGAAAGCAAGGTTCGGAATTGTGCATTATTGCGCAAAGCATCAAGATTTCCTAGACCAGCAGCATCGGTGGAAGCATTTGGAAGGGCCTGAAAAGCTTAAAAAATAAAAAATCAGAGCAAAATTCAACTAACGTGCGAAAGAGAACAAAACACTCGTGCGGAAGAGAGTACTTGAGGAAAGAGGTCCAAGGGACTAGCGTTTGGTCCAGACGAAAGAATTGATGGAGCTGCTGGTTGAGTTGCCTGTGAAGCCTGGGTAGGATTGGCTGGCTGTATACTCGGAGGTGGAACTGGAATGTCCATCTGCTCAGGAACACCCTACATTAAAGCAGACAAGGATATTAGTGTTGCAGCCAAAAATATCTGCAATCTAAAGTTTGAGTCAACATGCATTTTCTGTAGAATACTACATACGATTCAAAAGACAGCACAAATTAAAAAGGATAAACGAACTACAAACAATCCCATAAAACAAACAAGTATATCATTTAGCAATTATATAGCCTCATACAATCTACTATAAGCAAGACATGGTATGTTCAATAGCTACAGTTATACAGGCAAATTCGGGAACAGAGAAAATCATTGTCAAGCAAGACCTAGCAACTAAATAGGGAGGAAAAGAATGTTCTTACAGAGTACAGATATTCAACAGCCCTCTCCGGGTTGTTGAATGCAGCGCTTAGAGCATGCAGCACAATGTCTCTATCCCATATTCCACCACCCATTTCAAGAATTGATTGAATTGTTGCCTCTAGATTGCTGCCAGCAACAAGGTTTGAGGTGGCCTGACCGTAGTTATCAGCTTCAGAGCTGCTCAAATGGCAAGAAGAAAAGATCAAGTCAAAATGGGTTCAGTAAATTACAGCACATCCTCAAGCAGAAACTACATTCACATGAGAATAATCAAATTTATAGAATGGATGGAACATCAGGAACTCACGATACAGCAACAGCAGGAGCTGGGGAAGCTGTGGCAGTTGGGGTAGGAGCACTGACAGTGACAGGTACACTTCAATTAAACATAAGACAGATGAGTTAGCTGGCAGGTATTTAGCTGCAAAGTAGCAAAAATCAATTATAGGACACTGAGTAAAACACTAAACAAGTTCTGACTCATTTCTAGCACAAGTTAACAGAAGATAAGATGAACATAATAAGCCTTCCAAACTAAGCTGTATTTGTGCACTACCATGTGAATTAAACTAACAAAGCAATAGCTACACTCCACAACTAAACTGATAAAGCAATACATCTTCAAATAATAATTGCATCTGCTATGTTAAAGAGTTAAAAAGGAAGCAAAAATAAAAATCTGAGTTAACTCACGTAGTTGCTGGTGCAACTGGTGCTTGAGATGCAGGAGCTGCAGGCACTGTTTGAGTAGGGGGAGCCTGGCAAATAATAAATGGTTAGATATCTATAATCTCAGTAGAGAAACATACCATGAGGAAACACTATAAAATAAACACTCAAGAAAACAAAAGGATAGCATTTCACATGGTGGTAAAATGATACAGCATATAGAGCTCTTCCTCATTCAGATTAACTCAAGAGGAAGTAATGATTCTACAAGACAATAACAGATGACAAAGATACATGGAGTTAAATCTAGTAGCTCTGAACTTGTAAAAGCTACCCTTCAAGCTCAGCCATAGTTGACTAAGAACAAATCTGTGTTAACTATAGATTGATAGAAGTGCTCATCATTTGCAGCTATATTAGGAGAGCCAGATGTTCAGGCTGAAATCCTAGATATTTTGCTAGTTATCACTTATGGCTATGTTTTGCCTGTTTGATAAAGTAATAACTGATAAACCAATAGTCGAGTACTGACCATAGCGTCGTACAGCAGAGATATTTAATGAACATGAAGGGCAATTGTCCTGAATAACCACTATCAATGCAATAATTCAAATTCCATCTCACCTGATTTGAGGGTGCCTTAGATGTAGCAGGAGCTGAACTTGATGAGCCCTTACCCTGTGAAAGTTCAAAAGTCGAAAAACGTGAAAACAACAAAGAACTTTCTTACAATAAGTATGATATAAACGATTGACAAAATAGCTGCAGCAATTCAAAATTTAGGTTTATGGATTGTCTTTGCAGCAGCCAGAAAGGAGTAACAGAAGTACTGACAAGTTGTTCTTTTGTTGCAGACTAGTAGTGATTAGCATAGAGTCAAGATGAAGCCCTACATCTTTTAAAGCAATTCCAATACATAACATAGCTCACTACATTCTGAGAGCTGCAGATACCCTGAACAAATGCTTAAAATGCATAGTGATCATGCAGTTGAATACCTTGACATTCCATGGATTATTGTACGATAAGTATGATATTCATGATTTTGCGCCAGGTAATAGCCATATAACATCAAACAGGTGCTGTACCCACCTGTCTAAGCATTATAACAAGGAAGCTGTTTTCAAGAACTTTGTTTTCATCCAATGTGGTGTCATCCTTGAGCACCTTCCCCTGATGAATGAGCATCTGTTGCTCAGCTGGGTAAATGTGCTGTCCTTGAGTAGTCTCGATTATCCTTTTCACATCAGCAACCTGCTTTAAGAAATTAGATCAGTTATAAATAGCACGTAGAATGAAACAACTATGACTCAATCTGGTTAACTTAATCTGTTCTACTACTACTACTACTACCTATAATAACCAATCCAGTTATCCAACCATCAAAGAAATCAATCACATATAGTAACACGAATCACACAATCAGATTGGATCCACAGCTATAGCCTTGCGTAGCCGTAGAAACAAACCTAACCCCAATCCGGTCACCACCTCCTAGATCGCCCCCCACAAAAGAAAAAGAAAAAGAAAGAAACGAAATCGGCGCTCGCGACCGACAGATCGAGAGCGCGGAGACCAGAGCATACCTTCTGCGCGGAGTCCACCTCGATCTGGAAGGTGGATCCCTTGAGTGTCTTCACGGATATCTTCATCCCCCAGCCCTTGTTGCCGCCGCCGTCGAGCTCTAGGGCGGAGAGGGGAGAGGGGAGGGAATGGGGGCGTGAGTTTTTCTCCGATTTTTATTTCGGGCACCGGTGCTGCCTTTTCCATATTTACCCCTATACAGTTAGATTTTTTTTAGATATGACTGCGCCACATCGTTAAGAAAACATCAGCCGTCCGATTCTTCGTTCAAATGATGGAAGCCGTCGGATCGCTCAAAATGGCGAAATATCTTCTAGATCCTTCCTAAAGCTTCTTTTACAACGAGGTCCTTCCACATCCTTTAGTAAACCAAAAAAACAAGAAAAAGAAAATCCGCGAGGGGCTTCTGGCAAGACGACGAGCTGCCTCTTCCTCCCCACGAGACAACGTGCAGCTCCATCTCCCGACCATCCCACGCCACTTTCGCCACCAGCGTCATCTTCCCTGGACATCGCCGCCTCACCAGTCATCACTCCGCGGTCTCCACCTTCGATTGTAAACTCATTAGGTAACATTCATTTTGTTCATTGTTTATTCCCTCTATTTCAAATTGATTTATATATAGTTTTTTTTAGGTTATTTCTAAATGATCTACATATTTGTGTTCATTTATTAAAAATATTCGTTATTTGTACATTGAAGTAAATAGACATTGATGCATGCATACAAGTATTTATAACCCATATATAATATCTTGATTTGCTATTGGCTAGAAAATAGTGGGGATGGTGCATGCATCGATTTTGTTACTAGAGTAAATATATTTTGTTAGTAGAGTAAATATAGTACGAGAGAGTTGTTAGCTTTTCTTGGTCTTGGTGTATCTATGAAATATATAGATCAATTTGAAATGGAGGGATTACTATTCACCGTGTGGTGTTGAGTACTTAAACAAATCCAAATAAGTTTTTTTTTCATACCTGCAACTGCAAGTTTGATTTCGAGAGCACCACTCAAACGTGGGTAGCGATACTGTTATGGAGGAAAGAGTCGAAGCTAATATTTGCAAAGCAATTTTGGCTTACGTAAATTAGGCCATATAGTGAATAAAATTTTCCATTTGCTAGACTGATTTGATGATTAAAAGCCTGATTTTTTTAGGTACCGTTTGTTCATAACACGATGATCAAGGTAAATTAAGTTTATCTGTTCATAGATTTATAATGGCCATCTGATGGATAAAATAGAAAAAAAATCCTAAATGATTGCATAATATTGAATGTATAAGTGAAACAAAGTCACTGGAAACTTTTCAATTCTTAGAGACCATGTAATTTTGCTACTCAACCTCATAATTTTCAATGAAAAGCCATAGTGTTGGATGTCAACTTTGCTACGCATCTATGTAAGAGAGACCATGTAATTTTGCCTGTCCAATTTAAATGTTGGTAATCTCTTTCAGTTAACAGCACATGGACCTTTTTAACTGTATATTTCCTTCTAATTTGTTATGTACTTTCTTAATCATTTGCATAATCTTTGCTATTACTGTAATCCTGAAATTGCCTGTGGCTCCGCATTGCACGTCCTTACAATTGACCATATAGTCCCTTCCCCTTGCTTGCCTCCCTTGACTCGCTCGCTCTCATACTGCCCAATCTCGATGGCGGTAGTCTCCTCCTACTTCCCTGACATCGCCATCTCCACCTCCAGCTCGTACCTTCGCCTCCCTCTCCCCGACTCCCCAACCGCCCGTGTTGGCTCCCCGTCTTCACCTGGCCACCGCCGCCGGGCATGGTGTGTGGGTGCAAGGCGCTGGTAGAGGCGCTTCACACCGGCGGCAGCCGTATTGGCTCCCATATCAGAACTACGAAGGGTTTAGGGTTTAGAGTTTTCTCCACCTAAGGTTGCTATCCTAATTGCATTTTGGTATTTTGTTTAGAGTTCTCTCTCCTCCCATCTGTTTTTTTTTTGTTGGCTGTATTCCTGCTACAATGGTTGTGCGCTCATCTCGAGCCATATAAGCGATTTCCGATGTCTATTTGCTTGGGGGACTTAATGCATTACTTACCCTACCGTTGCCTGCAGATCAATGGCGCCTGAATTAAATAGTTGGTAAGCTGCTTTAAAAAAAAAAATAGTTGGTAAGCTAGGCAGATTAAATCTACATGGATGCTATCCCAGACTTCATGGACAACTCGGTCGCCTCGAGGCAATAATCCTCCTCGGTCCCTCTGTGCTGTACTGCTTTGCTCTGCTTCATGCTTGCTGTGATGTGGTCCTTGTGGATGTGCTGCTGCTGACCAATGCTAGCTTATTACAGTTTTCTTTATTGTTGCTGCCGTTGAATTTTACCTCGGAAACTTACTATTTTATCTTTGCTTTCAGTTAATTGGAAAATTAACGATTTTTGACTAAATGTTCGTTTTGCTGGGTATGTGGATAACCCCTTGCACGTAACTCTATCCTTAGTATAATGTAATTATGATGTTCCTACTTCCTAGGGCACCGATGGTTGAGCTGGCAGAGGTAAACAATCACCCGTTACTAAATCGTACCGTAGATCGATACTAATTTGTATAGTGTAATATTTCCTCCTTTTTTTTTTCGGACAGCATTTTTTTCACATTCCATCTGCTACTGGCAGCATGCTTAACAAATTTTTTCACATGCCTCTACATTATTCACCGAATTTTTTTTGTATAATAATTATTAACAAATGAATTAAATATCCAGTAAAATCATAGAGTAGAATTACAAGAATAGGATGGACGCTAAGTAAAAAAGAGCGTCTCAGACAAGGACGCTGTAAGGTACCACGTCCATCTGGTGCAGTTGCTCGCCTCTGATTGGTTGCTACGATAATCAATACAGGAAAAAAAAAAGGAGAATAAAAAAAAGTAAAACGAGAAGAGGAATCAGTCGCGCGTGCCGCGTACGTGGGAGCCTCGTTCTCTAGTTGATGGGTGGCGCTGTGGCCTTCGTCCATGCCAAGAGGGCTTCGCTCGCCGCACCTCATCGAATCGACGAGTAGGAGGAGGTGCGGACGATGACGGCGAGGAGATCCACCGTCCACGTGGTAGCAACACCAAACTGATGGCGATGGCGATCACTCAGGTTGGAGTTGGATCGCACCAGACTGTGGACGTCATCTGCAAGAGCGTCCAGATCTAGACGCTTTTTTTATCAAGACGTCCACACCCGGATGCTATTGTAGTCAGCGTCCAGACCATTTTTCTAATTCCAGACTATATATCTAATTTATGTGTTAATAATTATTATATTAAAAAGATCGTTACTATTCACCTACGACCAATCGTTTCTGTAATATATTTTTTTTTGCTGTGTGATACGAGAGAGATGTAGATGTATTTACAGAATTTTTATTCCAAATGAGACGCTCATTACAATATAACGCCCCACATACACACACAAACTAATCACACCAAAAAAAAAAACATACGCACAAACAAACCACACACAAAAAAAAAAGAAGCACACGCGCAAACAAACCGCACACAAACAAATGTCCCAAAAAAAAAAGCACACGCACAAACAAACCAAAAAAAAAAAGGCACACGCGCAAACAAACCACGCACAAACAAATGTAAAAAAAAAAGAAAAGAAAAAAAAGCACACGCTCACTCTGAAGTCGGTACACACATGGCAGTGGTGACAATCACGTCACTTGTTCCCGAAGCACCGGTCGACGACAATGTGCTCGATGAAGCACTCGGCGAGGCCGAGGGGGTGCAGGAAGTACTCGCCGAAACACAGCTGCGCACCCCTCACAAGGCACCCTTGGCAGGTGTCGTCGCAGCCCAGCGGGTCTTGTGCCTGCAGCTCCTCGTGCAGATGCACCAGGGCTGCAGTCAGGTTGCCTGCGACTCCAGCCGGCGCCGCGGCAGTATGTGCATCGCAAGAAAGGACGAGAAGTAGTACAAGGACACAGGTAGCGAGACGCGAACCCATGGATATGAGAACGAGATGCTTCCTCTACTACTTGTGTGGTCTTTCTCTTCTTTCTTTCTTTTTGTGCACTGTGCGCAGTAACTAGGCAGCCAGTGGGCACTATTTATATAGTGCAAGCAAAGCAAGCCGACAGCCCGACCGCTGGGTGGGCAGGAACAACATATCTAACGCTGGTGAAAGTACGCCCCACGCTAGGAATCGATATCTAGCAATTTCTTCTGCTTAATTTCATAGTTACATTCTCTCTCTATTTTTTTTTATTTTCCATTTTTCCCCAAGAGGCAGGCCGGCAGAGCTGTGCCCGATTAGGCCGGTGGGTAGATCCAATCATCCAAAGCTAGCTAGTAGACTCCAGTAGCTTGACTCAGATCCATGGCCCTAGTACATCGGGTGTTTGACCGTAATTTGGAGTATTAAACTACTATTTACAAAACTTATTATACATATAGAGGCTAATTTGCGAGACGAATCTATTAACTCTAATTAATCCATGATTAGCACACATTTAGTGTAGCACTATAATATCAAATCATAGACTAATTAGGCTTGATAGATTCATCTTGCAAAATTAGCCTCCATCTGTGTAATTAGTTTTGTGATTATTATATGTTTAATACTACAAATTACAGTCCAAACATACATTCAAATGTGACAGGGACAAGTCAAATATTCACAAGCCGGCAGGTTTGCCAGCTTCTGATTGGGCCACTTGCACTTTTAACATTTGATGAGATAAATCAAGGATTTACCAGTGGTAAAAAAAAGATAAAAAACTTGCCAAGGACATGTGCGCTGCATCGGATTTTCTGAGAAATTATAAAGTACTTTTTCAAGTTTTCACCTAAGATCATCTACCTGTTAATTATAAGCCATAACAAAATTTAAATTTCAAAAGTTGATTTTGAAGTTTTTTTTTATTGTGATCATTTTCTATCATCGGTTTTAGAACCATAAACAATAGATATAAGACTTTTAAAAGATAATTTTTCACGCTTATTTTTTCTTGCTTAATATGTCAAATTGACACGTTATAAAAAAAAATATGGTTCAAAACTTCAAATCATGTCCATTGTTTTGTTTAAACACTAGATAAGGCTAAAAATATATGTTGTGTCCATTTCCTCATATGGACCTATAATCCCACATGTCGGTAGGGTGGTGGCAGAACCACCACCATCACCATTACTATAGATGTGCTACATGGTATAGTTAAAAGAAACAATAATCATTTAAAAGTGCATATAAAAAACATTTTAATTTATGAATTCGCACTCTATGAAACATGTTTTAAAAAAATGAAGCATATATTTTATCTTATTTGATTAATGTAATTACCTTTTTTTAACAAGCGTATATTATATCATATATTATAAATGTACGTCTTTTATAGGATTTTTTAAGGGAATTGAACTTATTCTTTATAAAAGATATACACAGTAATTTCTTTTGATCCAAATATACTTTATGTAGTATGCACCAGGTAAAAATAGCGAGCGCGCCTTCTAGTTTTGTTTAGTCCGTGAATAATATCCCACCCTAAATATCTACTCCTATATTCCTAGAGAGGTACTCCAGCGACCAGCCTGTAAGCCTGCCACGCAGCTGCTAGTACCTCTAATGTTGCACTGTTCATAGTTTTAGTACAAAGTAGTACTACTCCTACATGCTTTTACTCAACCATCGGTTTTGCCCTCTCCACAGATGCAGACTCTTTGACTGTTGCATAACTCCATACTCCATAAAAGGGGTCCACCATCGGTTGGACCAATCATTAGTGATACAAGCGGACCAATCATTAGTGATAAGAGGCAAACTGTTGGTTTGTAGCTTGGGCCATTTGTCAGTGAGATATAAAATACTGCAATGCATGTTACTGGGTGTTTGCATTTTGTAAAAGAGCCATTCTCTTCCTTTTAAGTAGTGTAATAATATGTTGGTCTTATAAACATTGAGATTTGTTTACCTGTAAATTAGGGGATCTGCCAATGAGGTATTTGGGCTTTCCAATTGATAAAGAAATACTTCTGAACAAAGATTGGAAGAAGCCTGAGGAAACAATTGAAAAAAAAAGTTGGTTGCTGGCAAGGAAATCTTCAGTCAATTGGAGGGAGGGTGAGTTTAATTAATGCTTGTCTTAGTAATACTCCTTTGTACATGTTATCCTTCTTTAGGGTGCCTATTGGGGTTAGAGAGAACGGATCTTTATAGGAGGTTCTTATGGCAGGATGATCAGGGTATTAGGAAGTATCATTTGGTTAATTGGAATACGGTTTGTTCTCCCAGGGAGACAGGGCGTTTGGGCATTTTGGACTTAGAAATCATGAACATTGCTTTGCTGGGGAAATGGCTCTGGAACCTTGAAAATTCTGAAGGTTTATGGCAGCAGATGTATCAGACAAAAGTATTTATCCAAAAACATTTTGGCTGCTGCAAAAACAAAATCTGGGGCCTCCCATTTTTGGCAAGGGGTGATGGAGGTTAGAAAAAGTTTCTTCAATTTTTGTTCCAAGAGACCAGGAAATGGAGATAACATCCTTTTTTGGGAAGATAACTGGTTAGGAGGAAAACCTTTGGCAGAACAATTTCCTTTTTTTGTATAGAGTAACTCAGAACCAATTCATTACTTTGGCAAAAGTTAAAAAAAAAAGGGTGGGGTTGCATGACTTTCAGAAGAAATGTGATTGGAGATGCACTTGCTGACTGGAACAAAGTTAAGTCTTCTTGTGATGAGATAACTCTGAACAATCAAAGAGATGTGACAGTTTGGACTCTGGCAAAGAAATGGAATGTTTAGTGTTAAATCCTTTTATAGAGCTCTAAAGTTGCAGGGGACTGTTTCCATGATTGGGAGTTCACACAAATTTTTTTTTTGGAAAATTAAAGTCCCCTTGAAGTGAGGATTTTTCTGTGGTTGCTGCTTAAAGAGAATGTTTTAACAAAAGATAATTTGATAAAAAGGGGTTGGAGGAAGGGTAATGATCTGTGTCAGTTTTGTGAACAGAAAGAAACAATTCAACATTTATTTTTTGACTGTCCTCTGGTGAGATTCACCTGGACTGTTGTGATTTGTGCTTTTGGTATGAACCAGATTAAAGACATGAGACATATGTTAAGTTCCTGGATTCAACCTTGTGACAAATTACAAAACAACTAATGCTAGTTGGTGTGGCAGCTGTACTTTGGGCCACTTGGAAAGCAAGAAATGGCTTGTTTTGATCAAAGGCCTGTGCACTGAGGTCTAGCTGGCTTTCGTTTGTCTTTGTTTCTTTTGTGAGCACCTAGGGGTTCTATCCTTCTGGTTCTAAGACTCTGTTTTTGTAAGAACTTCTGCGTTTCTTTAATGAAAATTGGAGGGTTCTGCCCTTTGCTCAAAAAAAAAAAAACATTGAGATTTGAAACGATTGCATCTCACGCGTATAACGTGTAGAGCTTGTAATCTGTGTATTCTATTATGTTTTCAACTGTTAGAGGAACAAACGAGTCTAAAACTGAACATATTTGAACAATTTATCATATAACAAACTTAGTATCCTGTTTGGAATATAATAACATTGGAACACAAATATTTGAGTTTGTACATGGGTCGCATGACATATTATGTCTGTTATGTGTCACAAATATTTGAGAGTTTGCACGTGGGACCCATATGCCAGTTTCACACAAAATAACAAAAAATAGTGGGACCCACGTGGGACCCACATGTCATCCTTACATGTCTCTTCTCTCTATCTCCCCACTGCACTGCAGTCTGCAAGGAGAAGGCGGGAGTGGCGGTGCGCGAAACCAACGCCGAAGCGGCAGAAATCTGCCGCCGACACCGATCTCCACAGCGGAGGTGTGCATCCTCCTCAAACCCGTCACCATCAGCGGTGGTGGGGAAGGGGGGGGGGGGGAGCAAGTGGGGAACCAGGAGCTCGCCCTCCGCCACCCATGGCGAGGTCGCCGTCGAGGTCGGAGGGTGGCGCAGAGGACGGTGGAACCGGGGGCGGGGGCCGCGGTGGTGAGGTGCGCGCCCTCCTCCTCGAACCCGTCGCCGTCGCCGTCGTCTTCGATGACGGAGACGACGGCGGGAGAGGAAGCAAAGGGAGCCGGGCGGAAAGGACACGCGAGCGGCGGCAAGCCGGAGAGCAACAGGCGATTGTGGTGGCGCTTATCCCACGCTTGTCCCATAGCCCTCGCTCGTTGCACGAGTTCCTCTCGCAGATGCGGTACACGGCAAGGACAAGGAGATCGACGACGCGCGTCAGAGTCCGTTAGATCAGATTCGCACGAGGCCATTGATCCATCCTTTGCTTTGCTCCTTGTGCGTTGCTTAGCAGTAACACAGGGCAAGCGGAAAACGTAGTACTACTATCCTAAGGTGGCTCGCAAGGCTTTGGAGACTGAGGAAGAGCTGGGCAACGGCCGAGCGCGACCTCTGCGCCACCGCCCCGCCAGCTTTGCGCGCCATCGCTCCGGCCTTCTCCTTGCAGACTACAGTGCAGGGGGGAGAGAAATGAGATAGAGAGAAGAGAGAGGAGTAAGGATGACATGTGGAGCCCACATGGGTCTGACCATTTTTTTTTATTATTTTGTGTGTGAAACTGACATCTGGGTTCCACGGGTTTTATTTTTTTAATCAAATTTCCACGTCCATGCCCCGTGGGACAAAGACCTAGTCAAAGGAGCGCGCCACGTCAGCCAAAACCAGGCACAATACTGCCGAGGGATCTCGTTTGCACGGTTTTATAAGTTGAAGGATGTGTTGTACTCGGTTTTGTACTCAGCGACAAATTTCGGACTCGGCGACAAATTGAGAGACCTAAGATGAACTTATTCCCTCTCACTTCTCTCTTTTTCTCTATGTGTGGCCGGACTGCCGGAGGCACGGCGAGGCGGAGGGTGCGCGACCGCTCGCCGCTAGGGTTTGGGGCAAGTTGGGCGATAGGGATGAGGAGGAAGGAGGAAGGGATGAGGGAGTGATTCTCAGGTTGCTTGTTTCTTCACCGATTCTCAGGTATGGGTCGTTTGTGGGATTGGATCCCTTGCTGGTATGATGAGATAATTGAAATGTTTCAGTTTGTGGAGAGTTTGTGGTAGTTGTATGTCCTCAATTAGTCTTAGATGTACAAAAGAAAAAATATTCTAATTTCTAGATTGTGCAAGTTTAAGCAATATCTCGTGCAACTTCACTTATTTAGTTGTAAGTTTTTTGGGACTAAAAATTTGATGTTCTTTGTCACGCTATCAGCATGAAAGGCGGTAGCCCGGCCAACTTAGATTTAAGGTTTTGATCTTATCTTTGCATTTTCGCTGTTGATTAATGTTTTATGTAAAAACTCCAATCCATGTCTTGTGGGGAGTGTGGGCTAATTGAAACCATGGGAACATGCCTTTTCTTCCTTTTTTTTTTTGGACTTTTAAGTCTGTGTGAATTAGTCTGTACTCTGTGAAGTTGTGCACGGTTTTGAAACCTATCAGTCTGAACTTTAAGCGCTCTGTATCTCTAACACAGTCCAGTGCTTTTGAAATCTCTGTGTGCGTGCACTTTTTTTGTTATGCTATGAGATGAATACAAAGTTGTTTTGACGGGGATAAAGTTGTGTTTGGTAGACTGTACATATACTAGCAATTTTTACTGGGAATGAACACCTTTTTGTACATAAAAGTTGGAGACTATTTTTGTGATTCTGGAAGAGTTGAACACTATTTATCTCGATTTTCTTCTGTATATGCAGCTTTTATCCAATATGCAATGGCATGAACCAACTAATACTGGGAATCAAGCTGGTGATATATTGCAAGTGCTAGTAGGTTTTATTATGCTTGCCTAAAAGAAGTTAGTACTGGACATATTAATAAACAAACGGATGGCCCGGATATATGAGGAGACGCCACTCAGCAGATGGATGGGAACGAACGTAATGATTTGCTGTTGCCCTGTAGCAGCAAGGAAGAAGCCACGTCTTGACAGGAGAAAGAATAGGTTTACTATGATAAGTATGTGATCTCACCCATCTAAGCTAATACAGCATTTGTATTTGAATTTGCATTTGTAGGATGATGGATCTGTTGGTTCTGAACTTCTCTTTGCGGATTCAGAACAATGGTAATTTTCCTTTCCAATTCTTCATATCAGGAAGTCCATAAAAAGGAAGAAGGGACAACAAACATGTGTACAAAAAGATAATAAAGGTTTTGTTGAATGTATCCTTTTTTTTTTTACTGTTAGCCACCTATACTTGCATCATATGGAAAGTGCAACTTATTGTTACTTTGTTTTTTATTTAACTCAATCAATCTAGATGTATTTATATGCTTATATAGACCATGCTTTTATGAATTTGGAAGAGTAGGACACTATTATTTTTTTTATCACTTTGCCTCTCTTGCTGTTGCTTCCATCCGATTTGCAATGGCATGAAATGGCTTGTACTGGAAAATTATGATACGTGAGTATGTAGCAAGTGTTACTAGGCCGTGTGCCTGAAAAAAATGCTAGGACTAGACAAATTGATAAGGAAAGTCCATGTGTATCTGTGATTCTGTGTATGCGATCTAACCCTCAGTATGCGTTGAATTCTGTGCGGTTCAGAGAACATGTTTTTCTTTTCGATTAAGTGCATTTATATGTTAGTTGCAGTATTGGCTCAGTACGGGATTGCTTGTGATGTAAACATTGAAAATCTAGAGCTAGCATAATAAAAACACACATCTTTGTTTTTCTATTTGTGTAGCGGTGATCGGGTTTTTCTTAGTTTTTCACATTACCTAATCCATTCCAACAAATGGGATTCTTTCTTGTGCGTTTCAGCTATTTGCACCCTGCAGCCCAAAAGCAATCCTTATTATTTTGTGATTTTTAAAGTATGGGACTAATAGTTGCCTCATATATAGCAAAGTTGCATTCCCTAATTGTTGTAGTTGCCATTTTAAAATCATGTGCAACTTCAATTATAAATTTGTGCAATGCAACTTGAGTTATAACTTTTTTTTTGTACACTACAACTATTGATTTCCTAATATAAGTTTTTGTTGTTCTGTCTGGCAAACCAGGCTGAAACATATGTTACAGTTCCTACCTAGTACTAGGTGGTATGCCCCAACCCCCCACCCCCCAACAAAATACTAGATTGAACTTTCCAAAATTTTCCCCAATCTGTTCAACTCAGAAAAAAGGAGATTGGGATAAACAAGATTGAAATTCCAAAAATCCACACCTCAGAAACCCTAATTCGAATAAATTCCCAAATTGAAGAACCCTAATTCGGCTGGAGAACCCTAATAAGCCCCAAAACCCGAATCAAGAAATTTGAGCTTCGGGTTTCTGAAACTTACCAGACTTGAAGCTCTCCGGCGTCCTCGGGGTCGCGCCGGTTCACCACCGCTCGCGCCGTCTTGGAGCTTCCCCACCGTCGCCGCCTCACCGGAGACGGGAAGCATCGGCTTGGGCTGCCACTTTTGGCACCTCCCCCCCTCCCCCGTCGGCTCGGTGCTTTGCCGGACCGCCGATGGCTTGGCGCCGTCTTCGGGTGCGCCCCCCAGCCAGTGAAGCTGGAGCCGCTCGGCGCTTGCCGCCAGCCACTCACTCGCGTCGCCGGGAGAGGGGTCGGGGAGAGAAGGGGATTAGGGTGTTCCCCCTCAGCAGCCGCGCCGCCGTGCGAGATTCCCTTCGCCGGATCGCCACACACCGCCGCCTACGACCCCGCCGCCGCTCTCGCCCCTCTGGCTCGCCGGAGAAGAGGAGGATTAGGTTTACCCCTTCCCCGTCGGCGACTTTTACCAGAACAGGAACAATCTGAGCCGTCCATCATTCGGACGACTCGGATTCTCTCCGCATCGGGCCGGCTCCACTGACGGGCCACGCGGCTTCTGGGCCGCGGAAGCCACCTGGGCCCTGCTCAGCCAGCACGTGCGCCCACTCCACTAACAAGAAGATTAATGGAGGTAAGATTTCGCACGCTGCCTCTCCATCTATCTTCTATCTACCTACCCTATACTTAAATAAGTTGTTTCACTCATTCTTTCATTCCTCGTGGAACGGTATAGATCATCTCTGTGTAAATCCAACGCTCAGGATCGTCCCTCTCAACCGCGCCCTCCTCTCCGCCCCCTTTCTCTCGCTCTCACGCGCCGCCGCCCCTCCCCAACTGCGCGCCCCTTCCCAACCCTAATCACTCCCTTTCACACGCTGTTGTCTCTCTTTAAGATTTCGCACGCTGTCTCTCCTTAAGAAGTTTAATAGTAAAGCCCACTACTAGCTCCAAATCATCTATAACCAATGTAATAGCCAATTTATACAATAATTGCTTGCTATACTAATAATACTTGGTCCCACCTGTCATACACACACTACGTCTTGGAGTCCGTGCTGCAGTTGGTTACAGATCTGTAGCCCGCTGCTCCTCTCTCTCTCTTCCTTTATCTCTTTAAAACTAGCCACCTTTGTCGCGCGTTGCGCGACTCTGTATTCCTATATAAAAGCCTCTCTATACAACCTGTAATTTATGATATGAGATTCTATGTGGTAGGATCAACAGGCTTTTGGTTTCCATATTTCATATCATCGAAAGATATTGGTGGGTCGGACGTGGTAAACAATTGTCACTTTGTCAGCACTGTGTAATTGGCGGCGGCGTTGTAGTTGTCATTGGTGTCAGTGAATCGGCGCGGGACACTCATAATCGAGGAGCAAATACTGCCATTGAATGTGAAGTCTCAAATTACAGCATGAGAAGAGAATGAAGAAGTGTAAACAAAGACATGGCATCAACTTGTGCAGATTGGGTCCCTTTGATTCAAAGGAATTACATAGGATTGAAATTCTATAGGAAATTTTCCTATGTAGCCATTTGATTCAAAGGATTGAAGTTTTCCAAATCCCACAAAATTCCTATGGAATGGCTTGTTGCATATAGGTTTTGGAGGAAACTTAGCAAGAGATCCAACCTCTTGGTAAAAATCTTTTGAGTCTATCTCTCTCATCCGATTCCTATGTTTTTCCTGTGGTCCAATCAAACGATCATTTCTGTGTTTTGCAATCCTCTGTTTTACACTTACATTCCTATCAGAATACTATGATTTATTGGTGGTCAGCAGAACTGAGCCATTACATATGCACATCTGATTTCAACCTGTTATGTACAAAATGTTATAATCAGAAATCAGGTTTTAGGAAATTCTATTTTGTAGTCTGCTAGCAAAAGCTATGGTTAGATGGGAATTATAGAAAAATATGTACAGGTCAAGTATCCCAGTGTAATTCAATCTAGAGTCTAAAAGAATCTGTCTTTGAACAATTAGGCCCATAAAAAACTTGCTGAGTTAGCGCGCATAGAAAAAACTACAAAAAAATTGAGGAATCAATAGTGAATTCTACTTTCCCATAAGAACAAAACCTCCTATTCATAAGTGAATAGAGATTAAGTAATGGCATTGCTCTTAGTTTTAGAAAATTAACAGTATTCTTTAACGGGCTGATGAGCGATGGAATTCCACTATACTGAGTAATAACCAAAGCATTTGTTGGATCTGCATATATGAAAACAAAACAATATGTTTCCAGGTTACAGATTTCACCAAGGCCAAACTGAATAAGTCTTCTATTAGGTTTTGCCCATTGAAAGCCAGGAGGTTTTACAACATAACAGTGGATGTTTCTGGATATTAAATTCAAACAACTAAGTAACTGACCATTATGGTTCCATAATTCAAATCAACACTGCCAGTTGTATTTGAGCAGCACAGAGTTCAACGTATTTGGGAGAACGGACATGTGAAGCAACAACAACTTATCAATCTCATAGCAGGAGCAGAGCTATACATTCAGCCCAAATACTGGAGTAGCAAGCAGGAGGAAAGATCGGGTGAACTCACATGGAGTCGGCCTCGAGCACCTTGATGAAAGCTTTACCACGGTCGGCTCGGACGGCTGGGTGTCCTCACCTGCATCCATGCTGCCATTGCTCTGGGATGTGCCATAGAGCTTTGAAGCTGGCTTTCTTGGAGCTTTGAAGCTGGCTTTCTGAAGGGAGACGAGGAGAGGAGTAGGAGGAGGAAGCGGCGGCAACGTGGGGCTAGGGGTGGAGGAAAGGGACGAGGAGGTGCAGGCGGCGCGACGGTACCGGTGGGGACTAGGAGGAAGAGGCGGTGGCGGGGGGCTGGAGGTGGAGGGCAGGGACGAGGAGGAGGAAGCGGCGCCAGTGGCGGGGTCTAGGAAGAGGTGATAGTGGAGAGCAGGCGACGGCACGGCGGGGAAGAGGTGGCAGTGGGCAGGCGGCGGCGGCGGTGACGACGAGGAGATGAGGCGCGAGGGCGATTCGGCTTCGGGAGCGGATGCGGCGCGAGCGTGACAACTGACAAGGAGAAGACGACACAAAGGGGAATCGCGATTTCATCGTAGGGACGTGGAAGGACCTCTCTGCAAAAAGGAGTTTCTCAGAGTATCACGAGGAGGTTACACCAAGTGAAGGATCGAACGGCTCATGTTGTCTCGAGGGGAAATCGGACGGTCCATATATTTTAGATGACGTGGCCCAACCAGATTGCAAGAAACTTTAGTTCTTTCAATACTTTAGATATGTTTATAGCTGGCTTATAGCCTGCTATTGTACCTGCTCTAACATCTTCTTCTGCTGCTCCTCTCTCTCTTCCTTTATCTCTTTTAAATATGTTTATAGCTGGCTTATAGCCTGCTATTGTACCTGCTCTAACATCTTCTCATCTTCGATCTGTTCAGGTGTGGATCGTGTCTAAACAAAACAATTTTATTTGACCTACGCTGGTCCGTCCATTGACATATTAACTCCGCCGTCGCCCTCCCGGCCTAAGAGGCAAGGTAGAAAATACGATGAGGTGGAAGTCACTGATATATGGCTTATAGCCTGCTATTGTACCTGCTCTAACATCTTCTCATCTTCGATCTGTTCAGGTGTGGGTCGTGTCTAAACAAAACAATTTTATTTGACCTACACTGGTCCGTCCATTGACATATTAACTCCGCCGTCGCCCTCCCGGCCTAAGAGGCAAGGTAGAAAATACGATGAGGTGGAAGTCACTGATATATGGGTCCCACTTGCTAGCTCTAAGGAAGAAGATGCTGGCTCAGTGAGTCAAACCGAACCGAAAGAGTTGACTTGCACCGGTTTTCTAAAATTTTTTTAGACTTTTAAATTAGGAACAGCTTAGCTCTCAAATAATCCAATCTGGAATTCACTTCTATGGAGATTTGAACTCAGGACCTTGGGTGCTACTCAGGTCACTGCAACCACTAGGCTACATGTTCTTTCACAACTGATTTTTTAAAATGGTGGTGTTATACCGGTTTTGCGATGAGAGAGACTATTCAATCAGCCTCAAGAGATGAGGGAGGAGAAATAGACTTATCCCACGCGTAAATACGGGCCGACCCGGTTCTCGGCCGCCTTGGTAGGCTTGGGCCGGCCGAAATGAGAAATTCTTAACACCCGGTGATTTAATAATTCCTTTAATCATTTACATAATTTTACTTGCTAATTTCTTTTGAACCGTTAAAATTGCTGGAAAAATTATGATCAATTATTTGATCACTCATAAAATTATTTCTAGTTAAATGGAACCAATGAGAAGTTTAGCTAGAAAGAAATTAATGATATGATATTAGATTTTACCAACGTTAATATGATTTCATATCAAGATTAATAAGATCATTATTTCCTTGAGTTATTTAATTTATTTCTAGTTGAATTGAACCTTGTAACTATCATTAGTTGAATATCCCTTGTAACTACCATTAGTTGAATATAGTGGCTTATCCGTAGTTTTGCTCCATAGGTGTGGATAGATCTGGTGTGGAGGGTGGTTTGCCGGGTTGCCGTCGAGTTTAAAAGGCAAATACATGATGAACTAATTGTGTTATTCATGGATGGTTTGCTTTATCTATTTATTACCGATATATTTCTATGTGATAAGTGATTGCTTACGTTCAAATTATTGTTCATGCTATTTAGGTTTCGAGTTCATCTTATGTTTACGATGTTATTCTTATTTTAATATTCTATGCTTGACATGGATGTGCAATATGATTTTCAATTTAGTTCTTTGTTTTCGGTTTTAATTATTCATGTTCCATGTGAGTCATGGATGTGCTATCTGATTTTCTATTCATGTCCCTGTGGGTAAGCGCCGATCACGTTTACTCGGCTTTGCCAGAATGTATTCACTATTGTCTGGAATAGAAACTAATATTTCAATTCATGCCTATCCAAGATGGGAACTACTATTTTTCTTAGCATGCGCCCAGCCTCCATCCCCCTCCTGTGAGTGAAAAGAAACAGAGACACAGCAAAGGAAAAAGGGAATAGAAAGACGTAAGACAGACAGAGCAGAGAAGGATCGAGAGTAACAGAAAGAAAATAGAAATAAAGGAAAAGGAAAAGAAAAATAGGACTATTCCTACCTGTGCGCCATCTTCCCTCTAAAAAGTCTATTCGATCTCCTCTACTTCCATGTTCAAGCCCAGACATTAATCCTTCTATAGAAGTCTAGCTGACCTCTATTTCTTTCTAGGCCAGAGAAATTAATTTCTCGGTAAAAGTCTATCGAAGTTCCCTATATTTTCTGACCAGGCCCAAGACTTCAATCCTCTGTACAATCCTCCATGTTTAGACAAAGTTCATATCAGGTCCCTCTACTACCCCTTAGGGAAAAGTCTGTACTTACCCCAACAATTTTCTCAGCCCAACCCGAAGGACCAATTCCCACGAGTCCGCACACGCCAACCATCAGTAAAGGTCTACTGCTACATCGCCGACATTGGTAGACGACCGGACACGTACCGAGTATCAACGGTTATTTATGTAATAAATGTCGTGCAATCAATTCTACTCATTCCATTCTCTCCATTTGTAAGAGCACCAGGGGGAAAAAAATAATCCGGTGCCATCTAACATTTCTAGTTCAAAATGTCGATCCTTGGCACTTGGCGGAACTTTTTTTTTTCCATGAAATCCTTTGAATGATTCTTTAAACAAAAGTATGGAGTAAAAATATCTTATGTAAGAAATAACATAAACCGGACCAGCTTGCGTGCATCAACGCTTCGATATATGCACACATATAAGACTGTTGTTGGGCGACTGTTATTTGCCGAGATTCCATGTAAAATAACCATAGGACTTGTGACGAGACCTTTCGGTTTGCCCAAAACCTCCATGTTAAATATCCCGCTTCCTAGGCATCTTGCATTTAGATAGGTTGCAAACCGCCTTGAATCAATAGCACAACTGCGCTAGCCTCCTTGTTTCAGCCGCTGGACCTATTCAAAGAGTTAGCCAAAGAAATATTTATGTACGTAGCTCCCTATTCGGCGTGCCCTTCAGTAAAGCGGGCATGATTTTTTCATCCGAATTCTTTTTAGGACTTACGACAACCCGCCATGTCTTTTTTTCCGCCATAAGTACCATATGAGCGGCTAAAACTAGAACAAGAGCATCATACCCGGCGCTGTCCAAGTGCAAAGCACTTCCTATCTCAAATACGATTGCTTCGTCGTAACCCTTAGCGAGTAACGTGGCATATTCACCATAGATGTCCTCGACATTTACTTCTCCTTTGCTCTATACGCTCTAAGGTTGCCTTTTTGGCATCCGGAGAAAAAAATCCCTCGTTCGCCGCGCGCACGCTTCTCGAACTGTTAAACGGTGTGTTTTTCGCAAGACAATTCGATACAAAAGTTGGTTAAAAAATCCTACTAATCCATTTTTAAGGTATAAAATAATTAACACTCAACTAATCATACGCTGATGACTCACCCTTTTTTGCGTATATTCTCTTTTCCCCTCCTCACAAACACACCCTAAGTAACATTGGCGAAGTTTGATGCCTAGGAACCTGAATGATATGTTTATAGCTTCACATGCTATTGGAACTTTAGTGACCGTTGCGTAGACTCGTATAAGAATCGCTGATGACCTTGTCGAATTTGTTGCCAAAGTGGTTCTTACCTTTGTTTTTCTTTGACAACACCCCTCGACACGTCGTTCATGCTCATTCGCGTACCTATTGCCAACCGGACAATGGGTAATATGCCATTAACATCTTGCGTACATATAAATTTCATATCGGGGTTGTGGAAGTCCAGATTTGGATCCTGCAGGCTCAGTCAAGACAAGGGATAGCATGCACTACGGACCGAACACTTGGCACACATGCATGCAACCAATCAATTTTGGACCACAAAGCTCTCTTGGCCTTAGGTTATCATGGTACGTGTTTCCCTATTTAAAGCCCCGATGATCCCTACAAACTCACACAGCAAATCCACGCGCATTAGCAACATCTTCCAACATTGAAAGATCCCTGTCCAGTTCATTAGCAATGGCCAAAGCCGTCGCCCTACTCCTTGCAGCCATCGCGGCATCGGCCGTGTTAGTGCAAGTGGAATGCGACGCCCCCGTCGAGAAGAGCTTCAACAAGGCCCTCCTCGCCCCTGTCGATAAGCGCTTGGATGAGGCAGCTCAGGCCATCAACGAGGCCGCCGACTCCGTTGTGGCTGCTGCCCCACCAGCAAAAAAGGATGAAGTTGAAGCTGCCACGTGGAAGCGGAGAATCTTCGCCATAACTGCTCTCGGGATGGCCCAAGGAGATGAGAAGAAAGTTGCTGCAACTTCACTTGCCTACAAGAAAGCAGCTAAAGCTGTCCTCGATGCCGCCCCAGCTGACAAGTTTAAGTTGATGGATGAATCCTTCAAAGTGGCTGTTATGCAGGTAATCGCATCATGAGCCACACGCCAACCATCAATAAAGGTCTACTACTACATCGCCGACATTGGTAGACGACTGGACACGTACCGAGTATCAACGGTTATTTATGTAATAAATGTCGTGCAACTCATTCCATTCTCTCCATTTGTAAGAGCACCAGGGGGGAAAAAAATAATCCGGTGCCATCTAACATTTCTAGTTCAAAATGTCGATCCTTGGCACTTGGCGGAACTTTTTTTTTCCATGAAATCCTTTGAATGATTCTTTAAACAAAAGTATGGAGTAAAAATGTCTTATGTAAGAAATAACATAATCCGGACCAGCTTGCGTTCATCAACGCTTCGATATATGCACACATATAAGACTGTTGTTGGGCGACTGTTATTTGCCGAGATTCCATGTAAAATAACCATAGGACTTGTGACGAGACCTTTCGGTTTGCCCAAAACCTTCATGTTAAATATCCCGCTTCCTAGGCATCTTGCATTTAGATAGGTTGCAAACCGCCTTGAATCAATAGCACAACTGCGCTAGCCTCCTTGTTTCAGCCGCTGGACCTATTCAAAGAGTTAGCCAAAGAAATATTTATGTACGTAGCTCCCTATTCGGCGTGCCCTTTCAGTAAAACGGGCATGATTTTTTCATCCGAATTCTTTTTAGGACTTACGACAACCCGCCATGTCTTTTTTCCCGCCATAAGTACCATATGAGCGGCTAAAACTAGAACAAGAGCATCATACCCGGCGCTGTCCAAGTGCAAAGCACTTCCTATCTCAAATACGACTGCTTCGTCGTAACCCTTAGCGAGTAACGTGGCATATTCACCATAGATGTCCACGACATTTACTTCTCCTTTGCTATATACGCTCTAAGGCTGCCTTTTTGGCATCCGGAGAAAAAAATCCCTTGTTCGCCACGCGCACGCTTCTCGAACTGCTAAACGGTGTGTTTTTCGCAAGACAATTCAACACAAAAGTTGGTTAAAAAATCCTACTAATCCATTTTTCAGGTATAAAATAATTAACACTCAACTAATCATACGGTGATGACTCACCTTTTTTGCGTATATTCTCTTTTCCCCTCCTCACAAACACACCCTAAGTAACATTAGCGAAGTTTGATGCCTAGGAACCTGAATGATATGTTTATAGCTTCACATGCTATTGGAACTTTAGTGACCGTTGCGTAGACTCATATAAGAATCGCTGATGACCTTGTCGAATTTGTTGCCAAAGTGGTTCTTACCTTTGTTTTTCTTTGACAACACCCCTCGACACGTCGTTCATGCTCATTCGCGTACCTATTGCCAACCGGACAATGTGTTATAAGCCATTAACATCTTGCGTACATATAAATTTCATATCGGGGTTGTGGAAGTCCAGATTTGGATCCTGCAGGCTCAGTCAAGACAAGAGATAGCATGCACTGCGGACCGAACACTTGGCACACATGCATGCAACCAATCAATTTTGGACCATGAAGCTCTCTTGGCCTTTGGTTATCATGGTACATGTTTCCCTATTTAAAGCCCCGATGATCCCTACAAACTCACACAGCAAATCCGCACGCTGTAGCAACATCTTCCAACATTGAAAGATCCCTGTCCAGTTCATTAGCAATGGCCAAAGCCGTCGCCCTACTCCTTGCAGCCATCGCGGCATCGGCCGTGTTAGTGCAAGTGGAATGCGACGCCCCCGTCGAGAAGAGCTTCAACAAGGCCCTCCTCGCCCCTGTCGATAAGCGCTTGGATGAGGCAGCTCAGGCCATCAACGAGGCCGCCGACTCCGTTGTGGCTGCTGCCCCACCAGCAAAAAAGGATGAAGTTGAAGCTGCCACGTGGAAGCGGAGAATCTTCGCCATAACTGCTCTCGGGATGGCCCAAGGAGATGAGAAGAAAGTTGCTGCAACTTCACTTGCCTACAAGAAAGCAGCTAAAGCTGTCCTCGATGCCGCCCCAGCTGACAAGTTTAAGTTGATGGATGAATCCTTCAAAGTGGCTGTTATGCAGGTAATCGCATCATGAGCCACACGCCAACCATCAATAAAGGTCTACTACTACATCGCCGACATTGGTAGACGACCGGACACGTACCGAGTATCAACGGTTATTTATGTAATAAATGTCGTGCAATCAATTCTACTCATTCCATTCTCTCCATTTGTAAGAGCACCAGGGGGAAAAAAATAATCCGGTGCCATCTAACATTTCTAGTTCAAAATGTCGATCCTTGGCACTTGGCGGAACTTTTTTTTTTCCATGAAATCCTTTGAATGATTCTTTAAACAAAAGTATGGAGTAAAAATATCTTATGTAAGAAATAACATAAACCGGACCAGCTTGCGTGCATCAACGCTTCGATATATGCACACATATAAGACTGTTGTTGGGCGACTGTTATTTGCCGAGATTCCATGTAAAATAACCATAGGACTTGTGACGAGACCTTTCGGTTTGCCCAAAACCTCCATGTTAAATATCCCGCTTCCTAGGCATCTTGCATTTAGATAGGTTGCAAACCGCCTTGAATCAATAGCACAACTGCGCTAGCCTCCTTGTTTCAGCCGCTGGACCTATTCAAAGAGTTAGCCAAAGAAATATTTATGTACGTAGCTCCCTATTCGGCGTGCCCTTCAGTAAAACGGGCATGATTTTTTCATCCGAATTCTTTTTAGGACTTACGACAACCCGCCATGTCTTTTTTTCCGCCATAAGTACCATATGAGCGGCTAAAACTAGAACAAGAGCATCATACCCGGCGCTGTCCAAGTGCAAAGCACTTCCTATCTCAAATACGACTGCTTCGTCGTAACCCTTAGCGAGTAACGTGGCATATTCACCATAGATGTCCTCGACATTTACTTCTCCTTTGCTCTATGTCACGCCCGGAAATTCACTAGTAATTTCCGAACTTATTTGTGCATAAAATCCTCGTCCAGGAATCAGCCGAGGTACACAAACTGACAATTTAATATACAAATCCATCATAATAACTAAACCGATATATACTTACTTAAGAGGCACTTAGTCCTCACCATGAAGAAAACTGCAGCGGAAAATAAAATCTAGCGAAGCTCCGGCTCCACTCCCACAGGCAGCTCAACTGGGGTATAAGCCAAACGTCTTCTCCTTCTGGATCCTTTTTCTTCAACTGAGGTTGATTGATTATTGCAAGAATGAGCATATGACATACTCAACAAGCCACACAGCAAATATGCAAGTGCACAAGGATTCCAAAGGATGGCATAATATAGGCTCATTTGCAAAAGCAGCATTTAGCAAAGATTTAAGATAAGTAAAACAGTAGAGTAATTAATCATCAATCTTAATCAACACTGAACAGCACACCCATGCTGCTCAGGCCCAACCATCCTGAACAACCATTCCCGGCTGTACAGATCTAACTCCAAACCAGGAGCTAAGCAAATCATTACCAGTTATAACCATCAATAATTATTGTGAGAGGTGTGAGACTAATCATGAAAAACATTGCTCAACTCGCCCATAACCGCGGGCACGGCTATTCGAATAGATTAAACTCTGGCCAGAGGTGTACCACTGTACCCACAAGACACAACCCCACATCATGTCACCATGTGCCTCAGTACCACCACGGTACCTCGGAAAGGAGTTGTGACAATACCCCTTGCACAACATAACCCATTACAGCGCACCTTTCCTGGATCATAATCACTCCCTTATAAAACAAGGCATGGACTCCCCAGCGACCCCCGTGGACTTCTCGCCAGTTCTCAGTCTGGCGCACTATAATGAATCACGCTATACAAAAGATAAAGCCGTTGCCCATGCTGGCTTGTGGTTGGCACGGTAAATGTTTCACAACAGTAGCTCGCGAACCGGTCCTTAATTGCCATGAGCACGACCTTCAAAACCATATGCTCACAACCCACCATTAATCATATTTTAATTACCAATTAATTATCATAACACGATTAACCATCGTGAGCTACCATTAAATATAACCATGAATAATAATGTAGTATATATGATTCATCCCATTAGTGAGCTAATGTTTCTAAGCATTGCTAAGCAATTATATATATAACATTTAGCTGAACCAAACCAATACATAAGGTTCAAGCTAATCAATTTATTACCCAAGGTATCAAGGAATAGGGCATTCAATGCAAATTGGCCTTAACAAAGGAATAGGTTCACACCACCCGGTGACATTCGAAAATAAATGCACAGTTGAAATAAATAGAGAATTTAAATATAGGATCAACATGCTCAAAGGATTGTGTTTAGGATCTGTGTGACTTGCCTTGCAATAATCGGTCTTCAATTAATCTTCTTGATCACTTCCGACGCACTCGCGAACCTTCGCAACGACGGAAACAACAAGCTAACACGCAAAACGAAGTAAAAGACTAATAAAAACCAAATAAACAATACATATAAAGTAAACAAACACGTAGATCATAATTTTAGATGAATTATGAGACTTGAACAGCCTCATTCTGACTTCAAATGAATTTATTATGAGTTTTACAAGATTAAATCTAATTAAAGCCCATTTAAAAAGAATTAAATAAATTTAATTCAATTTATGGACAATTTTAATATGTATATCTTTATTTTATACAACTTTTGCAACTTGAACCACATTAAACTGAGTTACGATGATTTAGTTATGATTTTCAGAAGATTTAATCTATTAGGAAAAAAAAAAAGAAAGGATGATGACGTCAGCATGACGTCACCCAAGGCAGCCACAGGTCGGCCGACTCGGACGGCGACCTCGCCGGAGCTAGGGACCTTGGCCGGGTGATTGGAGGACACCTACGCGTAGAGGACGACGAGGCGAACCCAACGGTACTCACCACAACGTCTACCGATGACCGACGACGGCCGGCGACGAAGAGGACGGTGGCGGCGGTTCGGGTTGACGGCGACGGCGGAGCTCCGGTGGTCGGCGGCGAAGAGGGACAGGCGGCCGAGGTTCTCCTCACCACGGTGCACCTAACGGCGGCGGCGGCAAGCGGCGGCGACGGCGCAAACGGCGGCGCGACGCGGCTGAAGACGGCCGGCGGCGGCGGCGGGCTAAAAGGCGGCGGCGCGGCGGCTAGGAGGCACGGGAGACCACGGGAGAGGGGGCAAACGAAAGAGGGCGACGAGGTGGTCCTATATATAGCATTGGATTGAAGAGATCGGACTCCAAACGAGAGAAATCGATCCAAGAAAATCAAAACTCGGTTTTGGAGATAAACTCGAAAACGAGTTTGATTCGGATAGGATACTCAACGGATTGCTCCGTTTCTTGAGGGGAAAGATAGAGGAGAACGAGAGGATCAAAACCCCTCAATCAATCGGACACGAGGAGACCGGATTGGGGTGGATTTGGAGGCGGAAGGCGGCTCGGTCGGGCTCGGCATGGCAGCCGGCCGGAGGTTGAAGAGAGGTCCGACATGTGGGCCCCACATGTCGGCGGCTGGAGGAGGAGAGGGCGGGCGGCTCGGCTGGGCCGGCTTGGGCCGCGCGGGAGAGAGAGAGAGTTGGGCCGAATTCGGCCCAACGGCTTAGGAAGGGGTTTTTTGAACTTTCTTCAATTAAAATAATTTGTGAAATGTTGTTTCATTTATTAAAAATACTTCCCTTGCTCAAATAATTCCCAGAAAATTCTAGAAAATAGAGGAACAAGCAAAGTATTTAATAAAATTTTATCTAGCTCAATTTTATATTGAGATTTAGCAAATTAAAATTAGATCTTCTCTTTTAAGCTTTTAAAATTATTTCTAATAATTCCTTTTAAACAACAATTTATAATTTAAGGATTTTAAACAAGAAAAACTCTTAACAATTATAATTAGATCATTATTGATCAAATAATTACTGAAATGTTCTTTGTATCATTTAGGAATTGAGCTCCGAAAAATCCGAGAAAATTCCAGAGAGTATAATTAATCATGGAGAATTTAATAAAAATTAAATCCATCCATGCTTTAAATTTAGGAAATTTTATTTCCCACAATTAACTTCACTTGCAAATTATTGAACATTTCATATAAATTCTATTAATAATTTATTAAATAATTTATAAATCCTAAGACGAAAATCAGGGTGTGACACTCTATACGCTCTAAGGCTGCCTTTTTGGCATCCGGAGAAAAAAATCCCTCGTTCGCCGCGCGCACGCTTCTCGAACTGCTAAACGGTGTGTTTTTCGCAAGACAATTCGATACAAAAGTTGGTTAAAAAATCCTACTAATCCATTTTTAAGGTATAAAATAATTAACACTCAACTAATCATACGCTGATGACTCACCCTTTTTTGCGTATATTCTCTTTTCCCCTCCTCACAAACACACCGTAAGTAACATTGGCGAAGTTTGATGCCTAGGAACCTGAATGATATGTTTATAGCTTCACATGCTATTGGAACTTTAGTGACCGTTGCGTAGACTCGTATAAGAATCGCTGATGACCTTGTCGAATTTGTTGCCAAAGTGGTTCTTACCTTTGTTTTTCTTTGACAACACCCCTCGACACGTCGTTCATGCTCATTCGCGTACCTATTGCCAACCGGACAATGGGTTTTCTGCCCTTAACATCTTGCGTACATATAAATTTCATATCGGGGTTGTGGAAGTCCAGATTTGGATCTTGCAGGCTCAGTCAAGACAAAGGATAGCATGCACTACGGACCGAACACTTGGCACACATGCATGCAACCAATCAATTTTGGACCATGAAGCTCTCTTGGCCTTAGGTTATCATGGTACGTGTTTCCCTATTTAAAGCCCCGATGATCCCTACAAACTCACACAGCAAATCCGCGCGCAGTAGCAACATCTTCCAACATTGAAAGATCCCTGTCCAGTTCATTAGCAATGGCCAAAGCCGTCGCCCTACTCCTTGCAGCCATCGCGGCATCGGCCGTGTTAGTGCAAGTGGAATGCGACGCCCCCGTCGAGAAGAGCTTCAACAAGGCCCTCCTCGCCCCTGTCGATAAGCGCTTGGATGAGGCAACTCAGGCCATCAACGAGGCCGCCGACTCCGTTGTGGCTGCTGCCCCACCAGCAAAAAAGGATGAAGTTGAAGCTGCCACGTGGAAGCGGAGAATGTTCGCCTTTGCTGCTCTCGGGATGGCCCAAGGAGATGAGAAGAAAGTTGCTGCAACTTCACTTGCCTACAAGAAAGCAGCTAAAGCTGTCCTCGATGCAGCCCCAGCTGACAAGTTTAAGTTGATGGATGAATCCTTCAAAGTGGCTGCTATGGAGGTAATCGCATCATGAGCCACACGCCAACCTTCAATAAAGGTCTACTGCTACACCGCCGACATTGGTAGACGACCGGACATGTACCGAGTATCAACGGTTATTTATGTAATAA